AATCAAAAGAAAGAAGTCACATTTTTAAAATATATAATGACTATTATAGAGGCGATGAAGTTATTTCTTTAAACTTTTAGTTCTATCAGATTTAGAATTTATTATTGCTGTGCTGTCTCATATATTTTAAGATATATATTTATGTGAACATGCCAAAAGAAAAAAATCTTGTTTGTAGACATTCACACTAATAAGATACAATGCAACCACTTTTCAACAGAAACAAAGTGAACATGCTGGCATCTTTGATCCTTACCTTATAAGTTGCTCTGAGATCAATCCAGGAATTTAGGAACACAGGTTTCAACAGCTGCTTTCTTCTACACTCATACTCTAAGCAAACACCCAAGTCCCAGTCTACATTAAGGATATTACAATCAAAGTCAATGATGTCAGTGTTTTTCCATTTACAAATAGAATGTATAAAACAAGACACAGTAGAGCAGTAAGATTTAATTGCTATGCTAATAAGTAATGCTCATATGTTCTGTGTTTTATACTTTATATAACTCTCCATTAAGAAATTACATTGACGATTGTTTTAAAATATTATCTTCTGTGTTTATGCAGGTGCATTTATGTGCTGGTGCAAGTGAGAGGATGTGCAGGTGATTACTCAAGTGCCACCCATCTTACTGAGACAGTGTTTTAATGGCCTGGAGAATCATGATTTTAAAAGTATGAATGAAACCAGGTGGTAGTGGCACATGTCTTTAATCCTAGTTCTTGGGAGGCAGAGGCAGGTGGATCTCTGTGAGTTCAAGGTCAGCAGGGTCTACAAAGAGAATTCCAGGACAGTCGGTGCTGTTACACAAACTCTGTCTCAAAACAAAACAAAACAAAAACAATAAAAAACAAACAAAAAAACTAAAGGTAATTTGCTTCTCTTGGTTAGTACCTGTGTTGCCCTTGGTTTTCTTTCCCAGGTCAATAAGGTCAACAACCATAATTCCAGGTTAACAAGAATAGAACCAGAAATAAAGGTCCACATAGTAGTAATCTACTCCTTTTCTTGGTAGGTGGGTCATATGTATATGTGGTATGTATGTGCCACATGTTCACAAGTGTTGGGGTGCAGGTGTGTGTACATATATGTGAATGTGTAAAACTGACATCAGGAATCGATTGTTTTCTACCTTGTTTATTGAGGGAGGGTTCCTTACTAAATCTCAGACTTGCTGTTGTAGCTGTTTGCTAGCCAGCTTGCTCTGGGGATTCCTTGTTTCTACCTATGTACTCAGATTACAGATAGACCACTGTGCCCATGTGGCTTTCACATGGGTTCTGAGGGTCCCAACTCTGGTCCTCATGATTGTGTAACCTAAGTGCTACCCATGTGACTTATAGTCATAACTCATGTTTTTACCTGACCAAGTAACAAAAGCACACAATTTTACTTCAGTAGAGGGCTCTGAATCCCCATTAGCCAAAATGATTTTCTTCTGCTGCTGAATCCTATGAATCCATTTACAGAACTGAGATAAGCAAATCTTCAGAGGGACTCCTTCATCAACTTGAACCTGATTAGAGAGTCACAAAATCAGTTTAACAAATGGACTTCTGAGCTACTGAGCATTTATTACAAATCTGCAACATGGGGGACAGAACAAAAACAGGTTCTGACTGACAAAGAGTTTATCTAGTACAAAGATGTTAAGACATACAGGCAAGAATTCAGCAACATACCAGAAACTAGCCTGGTAATACTGAACTTAAGTCTCACAGAAATGAAAGACACCAGCTGGGCAGTGGTGGCGCATGCCTTTAATCCCAGCACTCAGAAGGCAGAGGCAGGCGATCTCAGTGAGTTCAAGACCAGCCTGGTCTAAAAGAGCTTGTTCCAGGACACTAGGACAGCCTCTAAAACCATAGAAAAACCCTGTCTCAAAAAAACAAAAACAAAACAAACAAACAAAAAACCAACCAAACAAACAAACAAAAAACTAAAAACAAAAGTTATATTACTTCTGTAAAATAAACTGTCTCTTAGGAACACAAACCCTGGGTTTCATGAATCCTAGATAAGCACCCTCAGTCTGTGCTATAACCCTTGACCTTTATTATTTATAGCATTATTTTTATTTTTTTTCAAGATTCCAGTGGACATTTAGAGGGGACATTATTTCTCTTTGCACTGAATAAATTTAATTTCAAGTGGCATATGGTTTTTACTTTTCTTTTTGAAACTGATTTTTAAACTTTTAAAATTTGTACCATACCTGCTTTATCCCTGTCAGTTCTGTGCAAAATTCAGAAAGAATTGGATGTTCTTGAGGCTGAACATAAGCATGAAACTCAGATTCAATCTCTCCAGTTGTTGTACTCAACAAAACTGCCGGAAATTCAACTAAATAAAGGAATCATGGATTAACACTCAAATATATTTGTTTGTTGTCTATTATTTATTTATTTTGAGGAAGGGTCTCAATGAGTAGTCCTGGCTAGTGTAGAATCTATATAGATTAGCAGTTCTCAACCTGTGGGTAGAAGCCCCTGGCAGGAGGTCAAGTAACTCTTTCACAGGGGTCAGATATCAGATATTTATATTATGATTCATAACAGTAGCAAAATTAGTTATGAAGCAGCAACAAAAATAATTTTAAGGTTTGGAGTCACCACAACATGAGGAACTATATTAAAGGGTCACAGCATTAGGAAGGTTGAAAACCACTAATATAGACCACGCTGGCTTCAAACTCATAGAGATGCACCTGTCTCTGGCTCCTGAGTGCTAGAATTAAGGATATGTACCACCATACTCATTCTAAACATGCACTGTTTTCATAGTAGCATTATTAAACAATCAACTGCAGTGAAAGTTTATTAGAATAACCAAAGTCGTGAGATAAAGCTTTTATAAATCTATATTAAGGAATGAATCAAGATACCAAAGTTATAGTCTATTTAGTTTCACAATTAAATATGAAGACTATAGAGTATTAAAATGTACTCTATTATTGTAAAGCCATTTTTTCCAGTTTCTAGCCACTCAAAGTTTTAAATGTAATCTTAAAACAACTACTACTTTGCATAATCACATTTTATCTTTGTTTTTTTTTTTAAAGGCAAGACAGTTTTTATATTAAACTATCAACTTACAGCATCCTGTTTTTTTTTTTTTTTTTTTTTTTTTTTTTTTTTTTGGCTGATGCACATCTAGAAACTGTAAGATTGAGCACTGGCTTTGGCCACTGGTAATCCAAACTTACTTATTTCAGGGCTATTGTGGTGTTTTCCATCTTTCCAGCATGTAGACTCAAAATCAATGACAATTAAGTAGTCATACATCTGTTCTGCAAAAGACCAGAGGGTTCTTAGGCTTTGTCAATGTTCCAAGTCCAAGGCTTCAAAATGAAAATTAAACAGGTGACTTACTGAATCGGCTTCCTCCTGGATTCTCCCTTGCTGATGAAACTGACTTTCTCCTAATTAATCCAAGCCGCCTAAAAATGCAAAATCCAACAAGATCAACAAAGTCATCGAGTTAGAATAAGCTATTAAACTGATAGCACTGAACAAATGGTAAAATCCTCTCATTAATGTACTATAATTGGAGTTGGGTGTGGGGACACACACCTGTAAGCTCAGTGCTCAGCAGGCCAAGGCAGAATTGAGCTTGAGAACTGCTTGAGTACATGGCAAGACTGGGTCTCAAACAACAGCTCCTGTACTGACTGAAGGAAACTAGAGCTAGACTTTACAAGAGCAGGGTTCTTGTACTAATTGACATCCTTTCTGGAGTGTTCATTTTACCTGCATGGGCTTCAAGTGACTATTTGCAAACACTAATTTTATCTGATCTCCTTTTATAGCAGCACCGAGGAACTCAAATGACTCTAGAGACTACTAAAAACCTTTAGCTATTGCACTTTTCAAGTTCTTGCTATTTTCTAAGGAGATGATGCCTGTTCCTACATGCTAAAAACTTAGGGGAGGAAGGAAGATAACCAGACTACTACTGAAAGGCAATGATAAAAGAACGCCAACAGTAAGTTCAAAGTTCAAACTGGAGTTCAAAGAAGGGAAAGGGTTAACCAGGGTCTCATATGCAGGTGAGACAAAAATCTTGTAAGTACAGCTTTAACTAGTAGTTACCTGGAATGGTTATTTTGGCAAAAAAAAAAAAAAGACAAGTGATGCCAGTATAGTGATCTGGAGTTAAAAGTTATCGACTACTTCATCAGCAAATATTAAACTAAGGTGGAGGTGGTAAACAATTTCAGGTGATAAATATGTCTGTAACCCTTTATTTTATACATGAGAAAACTAGGTTAGGTAATTTGCTAAAGATGGCTATAGTAGTTGACAGTCTGACTACGTTGACCAGGCTGGCCTCGAACTTGCTCCGTTCGTATTGTAGGCACGCTCTGCTATGCCTGGCATTGTCACACTGTATCTACAAAACTAAAATGTGCACAGCGTGTCCAGAAATCGAGAGTCCGCAGTAATCCTTACAATAAAATTGGACGCAATGGGTGCAGTGGCGTGTGCCCGAGAACAATGTGCACACAGCGCTGCCACTGTCCAGGCGTTTCCCGGGATCTACATCGACAGACCCGACACAGCACTCCACTCAGGGAGAGAGAACCCGCTTCCTCAGGCTCCTCCAACCTGGCGTGGATGGCAGCGAGGAGCCCGAGACCCAGGCTGGCCCAAGGGGCCTTTTCAGAGCCAGACAAAACGGCTGCGGATGACCGCCGCCTACCCTGCGGGAAACCCCTAGCGTACCGGGCCAGCCGCTTGGTAGCCATTCCTGACGCTCTGCTCCTCCGCGTCCAACGGCCGGAAGTCGGCTACCCTCGCTTCCGGCGTGTTTAAACACTGGCGCGGCTGAGCAGACCGGATTGTTTAGAGCGGCGGCAGCGGCGGCCTGTGGGGCGTGTCTGGGGCCGTTCCCGACCCGGGGGGCGTGGACCGAGGCTTGAGGAGGGCGAGCAGCTTCGCTCCGCCCCCGACGCGCTTCAGGTAGCGAGCGTTTCGAACTCCGCCGACGCCTTCGCATGGGGCGACTTAGGCGTCTGGTCCTCTCTGAGGGCAAAGCGCCCTAAGCTGGCTTGAGCTGCTTCCAGGGAGAAAGTTATACAAGCCGTCACGCCTCTCCCGCGCCCCGCCGGAGAGGACGGTTTCCTGGTCTCTGTGGGGTCCTCAGCTCCGGCTGATCTTTCCCTGCAGCGTGGTGGAGCTAGAGACAGAGCTAATCCCCAGGAAGAGGAAGGAGGCCCCGAACTCGGCCCTGGCGACAGAGCTGGGTAGGCGTCCGTGGGATCTTGAGGACATGCAGCAGTAAAGCCAAGGTGAGCCAAAGAGAGCCCCAGCGGGCGGTCCGAAATCATTTGTGGGTTCAAGTCCCCTGCTCCAGACACTCGAAGAGTTCGCGCAAAAGGATCCAGGCTCACCCACTTCATTGAACCCCGTTCTCTGATCTGCAAAATAGGGATAATTTAGTAGTCCCAGCACTTGAGAGGTTGAGACAGGCACGGATCTCTGCGAGTTCAATGCCAGCGTGATGTACACAACGAGTTCCAATACGAGCCATGGAAGTTTATTCACAGAAACCCTGTCCCAAAACCCACAAAACTGACTTAATGTCTGGTACACAGAATGTTTATTTGCAACCGAAAAAGCCCCAGGAATATCGTTGTACACCTAAACAGAATTCTCTGCTCCCATACAATTGGCATTCCTATTGGGCAAAAATAAAGCTGATTGACATTCCTAATTTTCATAAGACCTAAATAAATATAGGTCATTCGTCAAGTGTATTTCATTGTCTGTCGTGTGCTCACAACAGTGACCTAGGCACTTAAGGTGTATTAATGAATACATAATACTGTCTTAGTGCAGTTTACATTCTAATAAGGATCCAAAACATAGGGATATAAATTGTATGATATTTTAGAAAGGGGTTAGTGTCACGAACTTATTTATTAAAGTGGAATATTTATGGCTTATCAGATTAGCAATAAAGAAGAAAGAAATATGAGGATTTTGACAGTTCCACTTAAAAATTAAAAATAGTTTGCCTTTATAGAACAGTTGCAAAGCAATACAAAAAAACTGCCCCTAGCCAACAATGGAAAATAGTTGTTGACCCAGTTCAATGCTGTATTTTTCCCTTTCTGGTGTTTTTATTTCCTTCAGTGTCCGACATACTCACAACACAACCATCAAAATAAGGAAATTAACATGAACATATTGCTGCTATCTCAGAGCTCATCCAAGTTTCTTTATTTCATTAATCTTTTTAGCATGTGGAGTCATATTTACTTTTTAATGTCTGTCTTTTTCAACTCTAATAGTCTTTTGACATTCATGACTTTGTTTTCTTTTGAGGAATTCTGGATCAATTATTTCATAGAATATCCCTCAACCTAGTTTGTTTGTTTCTTTTTTGATTGGATTGAGGTTACACATCTTTGCAGGAATATCACAGAAGTAATAGTCTTTTATTGGAGTCTATATATGATTTTTTGATTAGTTCCATTTTTGGTGATACTAACCTTGATTGTTTAAGATGGTAAGATGATGTATCTCAAGTTGTCTAAAACTCTTTGTAGTTTTGTAGAGGTTTCTTTTTCTTCACCCCAATTTATCAATGTGAACTCACAGGTAATTATTTTGTTCATTAAGCTATCATCTGTTAATTCATCCCCCCCCCCCCCCGTGCTGGGTATTGAATGTAGAACCTTGAGTAGCATAGACAAGTACTCTACACCTGAACTACACACACACACACACACACACACACACACACACACACACACACACACACCTGCCTCTCTTTTTTTTTTTTTTTTTTTGGTGCTATTTCACCAAGTTGCCATGCTTGGCCTTCAGTTTGCTCTGTGGCTCAGTAGGCCTTGAAGTTCTGTGATTTTCCTGCATCCTCAGAGACCAAGATTACAGTCGTATACTACCAGACTTTACTATTCTTTTAATTATTCTTTTCAAAATTATTTATGTCTAGTGGTGTTTTGCTTGTATGTATGTCTGTGTACTATGTGTACGCCTGATGCCTGAGGAGGCCAGCAGAGGGCATTGGATTATCTGAAACTGAAGTTATAGCTCGTTGTGAGTCACTGTATGAATGCTAGGAATTGAAGTGGTCCTCAAGAACAGCCATTGCTCTTAACTGCTGAGCCATCTGCCCCTCTGGCTATTATTCTGATGATCTAAATAGCCAAGATTTGATCATTAACTAGCTTTTGTGTTATGACATGGCTGTATCACTCTGAGCATGTTATTGTTTTCTGGTGAGAAGGGATATCCTAGAATCAGCTTGGTTCTTTTTAGTGGAGAATTGCATTTGTAAATTTAAAGTGAGGGGTATCATAGATGGCTTTATTCTATTAGGATGTCAGTGGTCCCAAAAGATCATGTTAATGGGTATGCCTGTGTATTTGTAAATATATACAAACTTACATTACGTCTAGTTTCCTGAATTCACATTAATTTATTCAATTTATTTATGGTCAGAGTTCTTTGTAGTTCCTCCTTTTTTATATCTGCAGCTTCTTTTTCTGATAGAAATAAAACTATTATTTTCAATGATTAATCCTTAATTACTGTCATCACCTCCTGTTCTCACATCTTTGCCCTGCTCAGACCCAGATCAAATACATTTGAAGAGCCCGCGTTATTGTAACAGGTGCTGCCAGAATCCCTGTTACATAGACACTTACCCTGTTCAGGTTCTAAGTCCTGCACTAAGCACTACTACACTTTCAGCACACTATAGCCAGTTCCTAACATCCAATGCCAGACCAAACACGTGGATTGCCTCGGGCTGCTCAGGGACGGTCCTGTGAAGATGTACAAGGCTTCTGTTCATAATTCTTACCCTACTCAGGATCTTAGTATCCAATGCCTAGGAACAATGATTGTTTATTACCATATAGACCTCTATCTTGCTTAATCTTTATCAGTTTCATACAGTTTGGTTTAAAAAATAAGTCAGAATTAGTAGTATTTATGAAGAAGTAAAATATGTATGGTAATTTTGATGGAAAATTTATTTTGGGGAAATGAGTATATGGATGAATAATAATATCAATAATAAGAATATTCATCCTAATATTTGTAGTTTTAAAAAATGTTTCACTAAAAGAGTTTAATATAAAATTTTTATTATACATTTTAAATGTATTTAGTCTAAACCATTTTCACATGTTAAAATTGGTGTTGTATAACTGATAAGGAAAAATACAGATTAGGGTGGGGATGGTTATAAAGAAAAATGGATGTTTGTAAAGTCCCTTGGGGGAAGTATAGTACAAAGATGAAAAGTGCTTGGTCTTTAGAATTTGCATTCCAGTTGTGGCTCTATAACCTATTATTTCATTTCTTATTTGTAAAATGGAAATAATGGTAGTCCCCACTTAAAAGTTGTAAGAATTAGGGATATGGGCCTGACTCAGTGGTAGAGGACTTGCCTAGCAAGGACAAGGTACTGGATTCAATCCTCAATGCCTCTTACAACAACAAACTTTGTATGAACAAAACCAGGAGTGAAGTCAGATCATGGTGGCGGTGGTACACATGTATAATCCTAGCACTTAAGAGGCAGAAGCAGGCAGGTCTCTGTAAGTTTGAGGCCAGCCTGGTCTACAGAACAAGTTCTAGGACAGGCTCCAAAGCTACAGAGAAACCCTGTTTCAGAAAAAAAGAAAAACAAACAAACAAACAAAAAACAAAGTTGTAAAAATTAAATAATTTGATACAAATAAATTTCTCAAAACTTTTGCTGGGGCTGGCAATGTGGCTCAATAGTAGAGCACTTTCTTGCCTTGCATGCCCTGACTTCAATCTCTAGTACGGCTGCTTTAAAGAGTGGTTAATATAAATAGTCATCATTAGCTATTGTATAAGTTAGGGTTTCCACTGCTGAGATAAAACACCATGATTCCATGACCAAAAGCAGTTTGGGGAGGAAAGGGTCTATTTCAGTTACATATCCAGATCACATTCCTTCCTTTGCTAAGGGAAGCCATGGCAGGAACTCAGGGCAAAGCCCAGGAGGCAGGAACTGATGCAGACACCAGGGAAGAGTGCTGCATACTGGCTTGCTCCTCAATACTTGCTCAGCCTGCTTTCTTATACCTTCAAGGACCACTTGCAGGAGGTGGTGCACCACACACAATGAGCTGGGCCTCCTACACTGACCTTCAATTGAGAAAATATTCACAGGCTTGCCTACAGGCCAGTCCTATGAAGGCATTTTGTCAGTTAAGATTCTTTCCTCTCAGATGATGAGCTTGTACCATGTTGACTTAAAACTAGCCAGTACAGCCATGAAGAAATTAGCAGTAATATCTAATATTTATTAAGTACTTAAGGTGTGTTGATGGCTAGCACTGATTATTGCACCAGCAGTCTCTTATTGATCCTTTCAATAATCTCATGAGATTGGATTATAGTTGCTCTACAGGTAAGGGAACTGCAGTTTTGAATAGTTAAGGAATTTGTCCAAGATATTAGAAGTCTGGTAGTATGATGCTTGAGTTCCTAACCATAATATTCTCCTGTTTCCTAGGGGAAAAATGAAAATAATAATTTACCTCCGAGTTGTATAAGTGTTTATCTAGTATGTGTTTATTTTACCTTTTTGTATTATCTGAATCTTTTGTAATAATCAAAAAACATAAATTCAAAATCTTTTAAAGTTTTAATTGACAAATATTTAAATGTATTTATAAAATTTGGTCTATTAGTTAAATAATACTAATAAATTGTCAAATGTAATTGGAGCGTTGCTTTTAGTTAGATGTACCCTTTTGGAAAAACATCTATTCACCAGAGCCTTATAAAATAAGTACTTGACAAAGCCCTTTTAAAGGAATCAGTGAGCTTCCTTAAAGTTTCTGTCGCCATAGGGTAATTCTGATTCTGATACGTTATATGTCACTGATTTGTGATTTGTTTACCTTGTCCCCATTATAATACTGCCATAACTTGCAATATGCGATTTTGGCTCCAGTCAAGCCATACTATATGGCTTGACCCCAGAGTTTAAAGAAGCCATCACTAAAACTCTAAACTAGTGGTTTTCAACCTGGGGGTCGAAGGACCCTTTCAAGGGTGTTGCCTAAGACCATCTGCGTGTCAAATTTAAGTTATGATTTATTACAATTAAGAAATAGCAATGAAAATAATTTTATAATTAGGGGTTACCACTGTATTAAACTGTATTAAAGGTTGCAGCATTATAAGGGTTGAGAACCGCTGTCCTAAATAAACCACAGGGCAAATATTCTTTTGTTCCTATGTATTTAGAATAGCACTGACCCATGCAGTGTTAGAATTATTCATCATGTTTCTCCCTAATGGAATAAAGTTCTTGAAAGCATAAATTGTATTTTAATTATCCTGCTGTTTTTAGCGTGTGGCCATGCATAATATACAAATTGTACCAATGTTTATAAAATATTCTACTAATGACATCATACAAGAGGCTCTTTTAGACCTTTAGTTTTAATTAATTAGAACAATCCTGTGTTTATTTGCATGTTGAAATAATCAGAAGCTTGAATAATTGCCTTTTTTGTCATTCATGAGCATTATGGTGTGCTGTATTTTGTCTTTGCAGAAAGCTTGCTTATCTACCATTTTATTTGCTGAAACTTGTGAAGTAACTCATAGACAACTGTGTGAGTTGCTGAAAAGTATGCAGTTCTGGGTAAATCCACTATCCCTAAACCCAGGTATCAGATAAACTATGCATAGACCAGAGGTTTCAAACTCGTTTGTAGCTTATTGACATTTGTTAGCAATGCAGCATATTCAATTTTTTTTTAAATTAAGCAACAGCTGTCAATAATTGCTTGGGAATTTCTATATAAAAATCCAGATTGATGATTTCTTCAAGAAACTTAAACCATGTCTGTTTTCTTACCAGTCAACATATTTCTCAAAGCTGAGTGTCAGTCTTTAGATAAGGGTATGTCTACTCTAGTATCTTACCTAGTATACTTACTTTATCTGACTACTGTAGATATTGTAGTTTGCTTCTTTTGATGTGGACTCAATAGAAATCACATTAATTATTGTTTTCTTATTATAAATTAATGATATCTTAATAATTCTGGGTAATCTTTTACTTCTCTTATAAAGGACAAAGAGATATTACTTGAATGCTGACAGTGATATTAATCATGTTATATTTTATTATGCCTTAGTTAGGATTTCTATTGCTATGATGAAAAATCATGACCAAAGCAACTTGGGGAAGAAAGAGTTTATTTGGCTTACACTTTCAAATCATAGTACATCACTGAAGAAGTCAGGATGGGAACTCAAACAGGGCAGGAGCTAATGCAGAGGGCACAGAGTGATGCTGCTTATTGGCTTGCTCATCATGGCTTGCTCAGCCTGCTTTCTTATAGAATTTAAGACGACCAAGTTCAGGGGTAGTACTACCTACAATGGGCTGGGCCCTCTTCCATTAATCACGGATTAAGAAAATGCATGTAGAACATCTTATGGAAGTATTTTCTCAATGAGGTTCCCTCCTTTCAGTTGACTCTAGCTTGCGTCAAGTTCACATAAAACTATCCAGCAAAATATCATTTGAGAGATCAGTATATGCACACATTTCTCTGAGGCTGGTTGTTATAGACTGTCTATATTTTTAGAATCATCTTCTTTGTCAAGAAATACTGCCATCTGGCAGGGCCTAGTGGAGCATCCCAGCATTCAGGAAGCTGAAGTGGGCAGATCTCTGTTGAGTTTCAGGCCAGCCTAGACCACATAGGGAGTCCCAGGACAACTGGGGCTATGTAGAGAGACCCTGTTTCAAAAAGGAGAGGGGGGGGAGAAAGAAAGAAAGAAAAAGAAAGAAAGAAAGAAAGAAAGAAAGAAGAAAGATTGCCATTAGTCTGAAGTCAGCCCCCTCATTTAATGTGCTAGCTTAGGAGGGGTTTCAGAATACATTGGAGACAGATTTTTGTAAAATGAGCTCAGAGTTCTGATTTAAAACAATGTTCAGGTGGAAAGAAAGAACTAACTGCCCTAAGTTATCCTCTAACTTCCACCCTGTCACCCATACAGAGTAAGTGTAGTGTAATTAAAGTTTTGAACGTTAGGACATGCATTCATTAATTTTTAACTAATAGGACATATACTTATTAATAAATGCATTGCATTTCACTTGAAGTTTATTTGATTATAAGAAATATTTATCACAAAGATTTTTGGATTTTGTTTATTTTGGGGTTTTGTTTGTTTGTTTTGTTTTTGTTTTTCGAGAGACAGGATTTCTCTGTGTAGCTTTGGAGCCTGTCCTGGAACTAGCTCTTGTAGATCAAGCTGGTCTCAAACTCATAGAGATCCGCCTGCCCGAGTGCTGGGATTAAAGGCATTCACCATCACTACCCCACTTTATCACAAAGATTTTTATTTGAATTTTTTGAAGTAAGGACTGTCTTCCAGTTATAGAGTCATATAGAGTCAGTGGTTGATGAAAAGTTTTTTAGTTGTCAGTCACTGTGTTTCCTGCTTGTCTTTTTCCTGTAACTGTCTGAGAGTATCATCTTAGCTGTGTTGGTTTAATTTGTTTTTAATAGCTGGTGCCAGCTTTTACACCAAAATCACCTAAACAATGTGGTGGTTTTATTCTGAAGGGAATAAGTCAGTTATACTTCTACAAGTTCTATTTGGAATTCAGATTTCTCCAAAAGACATTCAAACATGTAAGATAAGAAAGTTTTGTATTGGGGCTAAGTTAGAACTCCTACCTTGAAGCTAGGGCATCAGTCTGAGACTATTTCTCAATAACTAATTATAACACTTGACAGGATGAGGAAGAGGGATTTGAATCTAGCATGGGTACAAGATCCTGTTTGAATTTGAATATAACATGAACTACATAGCAAGACCCTGATTAAAAACAAAAAGAAAACCAACCAAAGGAAAAAAAAAATTTCAAATTGGGTGCCATTAGAATACTAACTGGAGCACAGTAGCATCTGCCATCTAGAAAAAAGGCATGTGCTCTTTTGTCTCATAGCCTGCTCTATTTCCGCCTTGCCTGTTTGTCCATATAGTCCTGAAGACATTTGAGTCCATGAGCCCTAACCCACCTTGGTTTTGATTCTCTTTTGCTTCCATTTTATTGAGTACTTTTCGTTTGCCAGCCATGCATTAATCATGCTATGTGTATCATCTTTAATGACCATGTTGTCCTATAAGAGGAATTTTATTTTTAAGAAAGTAACTCACCAGAGTTAATAACCAATAAATTATAGAATTGGAATTTTAACCCAGATGAGCCTGCAGCTAGAGCTTTCAACCTATTCACCCTCTATATCATTGTTGTGCTGTCTGGTGAAATAAAGAATTAGAAGACCTTGAAAACATTTAAGTTGTAAATTCCTCTAACGTTGCCCTTTTTACAATATAGAGTGAGAGGAAAAATTTTCAAGTGGTGATTTTATAGTAAATGTAGCTTCTTTTACTCTCTCACTCTCTTCCATGTTAAGGAAACAGTTATCATTTTATAGTACAGATAAAGCCTAGACTCTTATGAAGGTCTGAACCAACAATGAAAATCTAGATCCTGAAGAGTTTTTGTCTGTTTTGAAGCTATTTTTAAAAGACTTAATGTATTTTTCAGAAATTCAGCTTGCCTCCTCCAACATCTGATTTTCTATTTGATATCATTGGGCTGCAAAAGAAGAAATCAACTAGAGGTTTTCCTAGGACTAGTGAAGGTATGACTTCAATTTTTGTTTGATGTTTGTAAAAATATTTCATGGATGTGGTACAGTTTACTCTTATAAGTTACGATAACAGCAACATCCTCAATTCTAATTAACTTAGACAAAAAGGTGTCTTTTTCTGTCCATCTTTTAAAAGAAAGAATTTTAAAGTGGGCAAGTACTCACAGAGGCTAGATACCAGAAATCATTGGTTCATGTTTCAGAAACTGATAAAGTTGGGTAACTAAGAATATTTGGATATCGCTCTCATAGAAATTTATAATTACTGTGAACAATTGCTCTTGGCAGTCACTAGGTCTTTGTACCTACTAGGATGTGGATGGGAAGGAAGAACTTACCTTTAACTAATGAAAGGGACATGGATATTGTTCACATTGAAGAACACATGGGAAATTTATGTGTTCCTACTTTTAGTACTATAGTTATGACTAACTGCAGGTACAGTAGTTAGAGTTTAAATATACATATCCATGACAGCAGAGTTGTTTAGACTGGGTTACATCCTGTCATTAAGTTACAGTTAACTTTCTTTTAGAAAAAATGTGGGTTGTAGAATAGGAATTATTAAAATTCAGACACAGTAAGGGTATATATTGCCCAATAGTACTTCTTTGTGTTCAGAAATAATAGTTAAGCAACTGTCTAATTGCACTGAGGAGACATAAAAAAGGTAGGACTAATCAGGTCATTCTCTCTTTCCTGCTTTAGAACTGTTTTCTAGTTTCCTTTGTCTTGGTGGTATCTTCTAATTTTGTCACATTTCATCGGCTTTCTTTCCAGTAGATGCCTATATCATATCTATCGCTGAGTTTGATTTGGCATGCACTGTCATTTAAGTATCTCTGAGTAAATAATAGAGTATCATTTTAAGATTTGAGTTGACAAGGCTGAAAGATTCAGCTTATTGTGGATGCCGAGGGGAAAAGGAGCTGGGGATACCACTTATGACTGTGTTTTGCAGGCTTTGAGCTTGAGTAATGATTTTATTCTATAGGTATTAAGGGTTATGATTATTGCCCCATTCTCTTAAGATTTTATTTAATTTTTCTATCCTATGTACCAAGCCCCCAAGGCATAGTCCATAGCTCTCATTTTCCTTTAGTCTTTTCTTTGGAGTCTTCAAGTTTACCTGTATGTTTTCTATAGATGATGCCTGTGTCTTCGTCTCTAGACTTTATGTCCCAGATTACAGTCTTTCATTGCAGTGGTTGCCTCCTGGAAATTATTTCTTGGATATTCAACTTTCTTCTCAGTTATATCATTGCTAAAAACATATTATCTCATTTATAAATAATAGGCTTCTGTATTCAATTTCCATGTTACTATATTTTTTTTTTTCTCTTTAGTCACCAGTCTTGAATTTTAGAGTTCCTTTTATCTGGTTCCCTGTCTCCAATCTGAATGGCTCATGCCCTCTATTCTCATAAATCTCTACTCAGATACCACTTTATCAGAGAGGCCATCCCTGACTTATAACCACGACAATGGCTTTTTCCCTTGTCCAGCAATCCCTATCCCTCATCTCCTTTTATCTGTGGTTCTTATCCCTACTTGATATATTAAATATTTATTCATTTTTATTTATGTTTATAAGTAAACATTTATTTCATTATTCATTGTCCATCTTCTCAACTTGAACTTAAATTCCATAGCATTTTTTTTGTGTGTGTGTGTACATTAGCTAGAATAATGCCAATAAAGACTCAAATATTTTCTTGATGGAATTAGTTTATGTTAAACATTTCTTTTGTATATCTTTCTGTCTCTTTGGCTCACTTACTACATAGGCTTTAGTTAAAATATTTTTTGCCAGTATTATTGTAGAGCCTTTCTAGTTTTGCTCTACTCCTTTTTTCACAAGTATTTGAGGTTAGTATTTCTTAAGATACTCTAAGTATATTTTGTTGCTTCCCTTCTCAGGAGCTTTTATTATTTTCCATTATGTACTGAATGATGAGCCAAAGCTCAAACTCTTGACCCTGACACACAAATAGTATATCTTTTATTTTATCTCCACTCTGAACTTGACTCATAGATCTGTTTCTTACTAAACTGTCACTGGCAATCCAAGTTCTTTATATTGGTGTCTAACTTGGTGTGCCCTCTTCGACTGTAATATGTTGGCTTTTTGGGCTGCAAGGACCTGATGTCTGTCTTAATCAAAAAGGATAGTGTTTGGAGGATACATGTTGACTAGAAAGCCATCTGGAAGTTAAGTATTTCTAGTGAAAAACTGTCTGTCCCTTTCCATAGCATCAGACAGAGCAAATTTTCAAAGCGGTTGGTTCTCTTTATATTTAATTTAAAATTCTAGACACAAGCTAGTGTCATCAGCATAATTACCATTGTCTCATTTCAGAATGCAGTCCCACCTAAGCAAGGTCCACACACGTAACCTATTCACTGATCTCACCTGGTTAAGGAACAGGCTGGTGATGCTTGAGTAGATGGCAGATTTGAGTAGATGAGATAAATCAGGCTATTTGAAATGGGTAGGCATTATAACAGAGGTCTAACATACCAACTATTTAATTCTGCCTTCTCAAGATTTGGCAGGTCATTTCCTATCTTGAAGTGTCTTTGATCACTTTAGTTCTCAAGCACTTTATTCCTTTACCTTTTATAAAAAGCCTTATTGTTGCCAGTGGTGGTGGTGCATGCCTTTAATCACAACACTCAGGAGATAGAGGCAGGCATATCTCTGTGAGGACGAGGCCAGCTTGGTCTACAGAGCAAGTTCCAGGACAGGCTCCAGAGCTACACAGAGAATCCCTGTCTTGAAAGAAAACAAAAACAAAAACAAAAACAAAAAAAAAAACCTTATTGTTACAACACATTTGAAATTAATTATCTCTGTTCTTGGCTTGTTCTTGTTTTATTTTTTATTTTGAGGTAGGGTCTTACAGTGTAGCCCAAGTTTGCTTTGAACTTGAGATCCTTTTGCCTCACTCCCAAATGTTGGGATCCTACATGTGCTTCACCATGCCCAGCATCTCTTCATGTTGTTATAACTGTATGAAATCATACACACACACCTTTACAAGTTGAAATGGAGTCATAATATCTTTTTATCTTCACTGTGCTTAACCTGTATAAGAAACAATACCCTCTACATTACTATTGAGGTAGGTGTGTGTGTGTGTGTGTGTGTGTGTGTGTGTGTGTGTGTATGTGTGTATGTTGCAAGTATAGGCACATTTGTGCTGAAGCATGCACTGAAGTCAAAATATCACACATTTGTGCTGAAGCATGCACTGAAGTCAAAATATCATTTCCAGAAATCAGTTACTTCCTTCTACAGTGGGTTCCTAGGTAGAATTCAGATCACCAAGTTTATGCAGCATGCACCTTAATCCACTGAGCCATCCTGCTGGCCTTTCTTGAGATTTTACACATTCTGATATACATTGAACTACCTTTATTGTTTTAGGACCTTTAATGTCTGCCATTTTAAAATCCAGCACCCTACCTGCAGAAGGACTCCATCATTCAAAAGTATTGCTGTGAGAAAGTGGACTTGACTAGATGCCTTCTGACAAAAGAAGAAATGAAAACAATTCATTTTCCACTAGAAGGTTTGCTTAAACTTACTTAATCTAATATCACTAACTTCATTCAAATACTTTTGTTGAAATTTGTTTTTTGGATGCTTTTGGGATAGCTTATTTATTCCATCTTATAATATGAAAACATTTTTAGTGTCAAATGTAGAAAAGTGATGATTTTATGATTATAAATATCAGTAAAATGTTTAATGAGATTGTTCCTTTTCTTTTTTTTTTTTTCATTTCTCTTTCATTTTTTTTTTTTTTCATTTTCTCTCTAGAAAGGATCAGTATTTCTTTAACATTTTAAGACTTTTCCAAGCTGAGGAGATGAAGTTGATGCATAAGGGCCATAGTTCAGCTCCCTTACACCCATGCTGGACATAGCCCCTTACTTATAATTCAGTACTATGGAGGTGGACACAAGAGATCCCTGCAGCAGGCTGGCTAGTCAGAGTAGCCAAATTGTCAAGCTTGTTCAAATGAGAAACCCAGTTTCAGTATATAAATAGAAGGCAATCAAAGAGAACAACAAATGTTAAACTCTGGACTTAAGGCTCATATACCCACAAACATGGAAACATGAATATAAAAAGGCACAACATACACTTGTACATAATAAAACAAAAAACTTCTTCATTACATTAAATCTTCCTCATTGTACATATTTTTTATTTTTGTATTGAAAATTTTTTTTGCTATGCAGTATGTTCTGATCATCATGGTTTCTCTTCCTCCAACTCCTCCCAGATCCTCCCTACTTTCACACACACACAACTTCATGCCCTTTTTCCCCTCTCTTTAGAAAGCAGACAGACAAAACAAACTAGCCATAATAATAATGATAATAATAGTAGTAGTAGTGATAAAGTCAAATAAAAAACTTAAGAAATAGACATCTACACATATACACACAGAAAAAAATCTGTAAGAACACAAAATCAGAAACTATAACATATAAGCAAAAATCCAATAAGACAAAAAATATATAAATAAAGCACTAAGAGGCAAAACATCTATAAAAATACCATTGAGTTTTTTTGTTGGCCATGTACTGCTGGGCATGAGACCTACCCTTAAATGTGGTTAATATAGCCAGTGATATTCCATTTGACAGAACTAATTTTTCCTTTGTAAGCAGATGTCATTTGAGACTATCTTCTTGGGGATAGGAGTCCTTGTCTACTTCCCCTGTCAGATCTGGAACCCCATCTGGTTTGAACCTGTGTAGGCCTTGTGTTTGCTTTCACAGTCTCTGTGAGTTTGTACATGTGTCAGTCATGTTGTGTCTGAAAGACACTATTTTCTTGGTGTCATCCATCCTTTCTGGCTCTAACAATCTTTCCATCTCCTCTTCTGCATAGCTCCCTGAGTCCTGAGGGGGAGGGGTTTGATGAAGGCATCCTATTTATGACTAAGTGTAGCAAAGTCTCTCACTCTCTGGATATTGCCCAGTTATGTGTCTTTGTGTTAGTTTCCATTTACTCTGATGATAGCTGAATGAGGCAGTGATCTATGGGTATGGCAGACATCATTTTATTGCTATGCTCCTTTAGAGGAACAGTAGCTTTTGGTTTTCCTCTAGGCTCATGGCCTATCCAATCAGAGTATGGTAAGTTACTGTAGAATGTTTGTGCCAACAGTGTATCATGCAAGCAGGTTACTTTTGTAAATCACAGACTTTGTAGCTGGATTGGTAGCTACTATTCTCCTTTGGTAGCATGTAAAGTGCCTTCCATTACTGTGAATACCAGTCAGTAGAGGTGAAGGCTCTAGTTAGGTACCATCTGGACTTCTCTGTGTTTAATGAGATATAAGTGTTGTTTTCAGCAATGGGGTCTTACCATCAATTTGTGGAGCACAATAGCCTTGGCAACACTTGATTTTTTTTTTCTAGCTCTATTCTTTACCTGTGTATTTCATAAGTTACATTTTTAACTGCTGAATAATATTCCATTGTATAAATATACCACATTAGCATTATGCAGTCAATCATTGGTGGATATCTAGGCTGTTTCCAATTTCTAGCTATTATGAAGAGGGTTACAATGAACATGGTTGAGCAGATACCTCTGTATTAGGATATAGAGTCCTGTCAGTATATGCTGAAGAATGGTACAAGTGATCTTGAGGTAGATCTATTCTCAGTTTCCTGAGAAACTGCCACACTAATTTCCACAGTGGCTATACAAGTTTGTACTTCTACCAGCAATTTCCCTTACCCCACATCCTTGCCAGAATGAGCTGTCATTTGTTTTAGTGATCTTGGCTAGTCTGACTGATACAAGATAAAATCTCAAAGTAGTTTGATTTGGATTTCCCTGATGACTAAGGATGTTGAGAGCTTAAGTGCTTCTCAGAAAATTGTTTTCCCTCTTTCAAGAACTCTGTTTAGTTTTGTATTTTTTTAAACTTAATTTATTTGTACTTTGTGTACATTGGTGTTTTGCCCGTGTGTGTGTGTGTGTGTGTGTGTGTGTGTGTGTGTGTGTGTGTGTGTGTGTAGTGTGTGTCCTTCTTTAGGTTGGGAAATTTTTCTTCTATGATTTGTTGAAAATATTTTCAATCTCTTTGGTCTGGGTTTCTTCTTCCTTTACTATTTGTAGCTCTGGTCTTTTTGTGTTGTCCCAGCTTTCCTTTTGGCACAGAACTTGAAGGAATAGCCAACCGCTGTCTTAATTTGATCACCCAATGAGAAGGAACTCATCCCTGACATTGCTTGAGTAACCAAGCACCAGAGACTAGATAGCCCAAAGACCTAGGATAAAACAAAATACTGCCAGACTGGGAAAAAAAAATCAATAAAATGATTCCTAATGATATTCTACTATACTCATAGATCAGTGCCTTATCCAGTTATCATCAGAGAGGCTTCCTTCAGCAGTAGATGAGAATAGGTACAGAAACCCACAGCCAGATATTATGTGGAGACAGAGTCTATATTAGAGGACTCCAACAAATCCCTTCCCTCAGAGCTCAAGGAATCCCACAGAGGAGGAGGCAGACAGACTGTAAGAGTCACAGGAGATAGAGGACACCAGAAGAACAAGGCCCTCTGCTAAATCAACTAAGCAAGGCGAATCTTAGCTTACAGAGACTGAAGCAGCAAACACAGGGCCTACACCAGAATCTTTGCATGTGTACATATGATTATATACATATATATGTGTATATATATGTGTGTGCGTGTGCTATCCGCTTAATATTTTTATGGGATTCCTGACTGTATGAACAAGTGGGTACCTGCTTCTTGGACCTGCTTTTTGGGACTCTTCCTCCTATTGCCTCATTATATTCAACTTCAATAAGATAGTTTTCCTTTATCTTACTATATTTATTTTGTCATATTTGGTTGTTATCTCTTAGAAACCCGTTCAAGTAAATGGTTCTGGATGGGGAGGGGACATGGAGAGGAATTGGGAGGAGTATAGGGAGGGGAAATTATAATTAGGACGTATTGTATGGGAAAAGAATCTATTTTCAATAATTTTTTTTTTAAAAAAGGAACATTACTAGTGACTATACCACGGAAGAAAATGCCTCTCCCTCCCCTAGCAACTATTAATTTCCTGTAGATCTTCAGGGAGGATAAATTTTAATACTTCCAATTTCAATCAATTGGAAATTTCTAGATACTAGGAGGCAGAAACTGTTTCAAAGGTTTTATACTCTTCTTTAATTCTTGTTAAATAAAATCTGCATACCATTTTAGCTGCTTCAGTAACTGTGAAGGTAGAAATCTTTACTGATTCAAATGTTTTAGATCCTTGAGTGGTATGTGCCTAGTTGTTAACTTAGTGTGTATAATGGAAAGAGTTCTCTGAACCTTTACTGAACCTCTAGAGGAAATTTTCAGGTTATGATTCCAAGAAATTGAAGAACATTTCTGAAAAGTGACTTCAGGGAAATCTCAGAGATAGAGTTGGGTTTAAGTGCACACAGTGAAAGTTACTCCAACTTTCTGCCTGTTATACAGACTTTTTAGATGTTCACTATAGTGAGTAAATCTCTTTCCTATTTTCACTTGTTTTTAGAAAAGAAAAGTGCCACATGGAGTCATTTGCATATATCATTCTTTCTCTACTAGTGCGTACATGAGAAGTGTCCAATAACTGGGTTTAATTCTTTTTTCATAAGAAAGAAGTTTTGCTTGGTAATAGTCTAGGCCTCAGGCCCACTGAAAAAGCAGCCTACAATAGTCATTCAGAATGTAACAAAGAATGGAGAAAAACTTAACCAGAGAAGTTGTTTCTTGTTTAGTCATTATAAAGTAACACAGAGAAAGTGCTCAGTAAATATGTTATTTGAGTTTTATTGACCTTCAGAGTGGTATTTATTATGTTCAATAAATAGCTCCAATAAGCCGGTGTGTTAGTGCACACCTTTAATCCTAGCACTCAGGAGACAGAGGTAGGCAGAATTCTGTGAGTTCAAGGTTAGCAAGGTCTACAAAGTGAGTTCCAGGAAAGCTAGGGCTGTTACACAGAGAAACCCTTTCTCAAAAACCAAAACCAACAACAACAACAAAAACAAAAATAGCTTCAGTAAATATTTACTTCCTCTTCTTCCTAGAGTCTCCTGTGAAAACTCTATCCTTACCAAGTGTGATGGTTCCATAACAGATAGTAGTCCCCTCTTTGGACTTGACTGTGAAATGGTAAGCAATGCTTTGATTTTTCAGAACATGTTGCAAACTATAGTGTAAGATAATTTCTTGAGTTTAGTGCACCAGTGAACCCATGCCTTGCAGTTGCAGCTTTTAGTTTAAATAGCAAAAAGTAGGTCCCCTTTAAAAAACTTGAATCTATATTCCAAATGAAAAATTACCCTTAAGTTTCCTAAGTAGTTTCTATGCTCAATCATGTTTTCAACACTTTACCAGAAAAGATTGTCTTGTTTTGTTTTTTTAACAGATATTCTATTCTGTGACTGCAATGAAGACTGTCTTAATTACTTTGGGCTTAGATTTAGTATTTCCCTGCTAATTTAGTAATTCTTCCAAAGACAAGTACTCCCCTTTTTTGTAGTACTGACAAATAGTTTTGAATCTTGTTAGTCTGTATATTGGTCTTGCCTGTTAATGACTGTCACTTTGAGTTCCCTAACCCCTCTCTGCCTTAGCTTCTCCTCCTACAAAGTGTGTAATAATTAAAGCTATGCTATAAATTTAGAATGTGCTTAGTAAAAGTGGTAGTTCTTACCCATAATGGTGGATAATACATAGATAGTATATCGGTGATAGGTACAATTATGATTGATATTATCTTCATTTAAAAAAAAATAAATAAAACAAGGTCTCCCTGTAAAGCTCAAGTTGACTTTGAATTTTTCATCTTGCCTTAGCCTCCCTAGCTATTCAACTTCCTCAAAAAAAAAAAAAAAAAAAAAAAACATTTTCCAGAGCAATTGTATTGCATTGCTTCCATTAAACATATGTTCAGCAAATATCCCAGCTGCAGTCTAATTCATACTGGATCCTTTAGTAAGCAAACATCATTGCAGTTGCTGGCGAGGGAAGGTGGTAGCTAATACAGTGCACATAATATGGAGAACAGAAGCTTCTGGAGTTTAACAGCCTGAATGTATTTCGTTTTTTAGTGCCTTATATCCAAGGGGAGAGAACTAACACGAATCTCACTAGTTGCTGAAGGAGGCATTATGGATGAACTGATCAAACCTGACTTCAAGAATCTGTACTACCTTACTAGGTAGTTAGGTAGTTTGTTTGTTTGTTTGTTTGTTTGTTTGTTTGTTTGTTTTTTGAGACAGGGCTTCTCTATGTATCTCTGGCTGTCCTGGATCTCACTCTGTAGACCATGCTGCCTTGAAACTCACAGATTCACCTGCCTCTTCCTCCCAAGTGCTGGGATTAAAGGTATGTATTGCTGCCATCCAGCATTAGGTATTCTTTACCTTGCCTGATTCTGATTCTTCCTGTAGCTACCATTCCAGAATGAAATATGACTTAGCAGGAAGGGCCCAAAGCTTTGGCTACTTGTTATCTATTTTCACATAAAAGGCTAAGTTGACACCTGTATGTATCTTAATGCTAAAATTGTTCTATGTCAATGTATAATGCTTTTAACCCTTGGTCTTTTATTCTTATTGTGGTAACTCAGCAGAATATTATTTGCCTTACCTTTAGAATCTTGCAGTTATATTTGTTTTTTAGCAACTGCCACATAGCTGGAGAAGGGATTTGTGTTCTGGCCATACCCCAACAAATGCTTTTCTTTTTTTTCTTTCTTCCTTCCTTTCTTTCTTCCTTTCTTTATTCCCTCCTTCCTTCCTCCCTTCTTTCCTTCCTTCCTTTCTTTCTTCCATATCTCCTAACCCATTAGATCTCCCAAACAGTTCCATTCCCTGGTGGGAGCCATTATTTATTATAATTTTATTTTCATTTTATGTGCATTTTGTTTTTTGTCTGCATGTGTGTTTGTGTGAGAGTGTCAAATCTTGGAGTTAGATAGTCGTTAGCTGCCATAGGTGCTGAGAATTGAACCTGGGTCCTCTGGAAGAGCAGTTAGTGCTCTCAACCACTGAGCCATCTCTCCAGCCCACAAATGCTTTTCTATAACTGAAATTTGAAGCTCTAAATTTAGTCTGTGCCTCACCCCACCCCTTCTTAAGGCAGGATCTCACTATGTAGCCTAGTGTCTTAGTTAGAATTTCTATACCATGACCATGGCAGTTATTATAAAAGAAAAACATTTAATTGGGGTGGTTCACTTAAATTTAGAGGTTTAGTACATTATCATCATGGTGGAAAGCAAACAGCATGCAGGCAGACATGGTACTAGAACTGTTGAGAATCCTTACATTTTGATCCAAAGACATCAGGAAGTAAACTGTCTCACAGGGTGAGTCTTGAGCACATATGAGACCTCAAAGCTCACCTCCACAGTGACAAACTTTCTCCAACAAGACCACACCTACTCCAATAAGACCATACTTCTCATTAGTGCCACTCCCTTTGGGGGGGCATTTTCTTTCAAACCACCACACCTGGCTTGGTGCTTGCTACATTGACCAGGCCAGGCTTGAACACATAGAGATCCACCTGCCTCTGTCTCCCAAGTGCTGGGAATAAAGTCACGTACCACCACACCTGATCAATTTTAGTGCTTTAATTTTCATTTTTCCAAAAATTAGCATAAAACTTCAGAAGTACATGGTGACTGGACAAAGGAAAAAAAACAGTGTATTCATGTTTACTTAAACATAGAGAGACCATGCTATTGGTATAGGCTGTTCTATTAGCAGATCTGATAATTAAATAGTATTTCTAGATTATAGTCATATGCAGCAAAAAGATATATGAAGATGTGTTTGCCACAGTTTTGAAAAAAGATAAGAATATAAATGTCCTTTTAAAGGACAATACAGATGTCAAATTAGAGAATACATTTTTAAACAACTGCAAAATAGAATTACCATTTAAAAGGATACACTAAAATTCATTTATTGACATTCAAATGTAATCACAAAATAGCACATGTGAAATATATCTATAAATGTATACATACCAAAAAAAGTGGAAGGATATTTACTAAAATGGAAAAAAATCATAATCTTTGGATAATAAAGTTATGGCTATTTTATTATTGTTGTTGTTGTTTATTTTTGAGATTGAATTTTAATTCTGACATTTCTCCCTTCCCTTTCCTCCTTCTTTGCTTTCCTTCAAATTCTTGGCCTCTTTTTTGCATCAGTTGTTACTGATACGTGCATATACTTATTTGTATCTACTCATAAACTCTCTAATATAATCTGTTGAGTCCATATAATGTTACTTGTAAATATTTTTGTCAGGGTTGTCTGTTTGGCACTAAACAACCAATTCATAAGCTCTTTCCTGGAGAGAGTTACCTCTTCCACTTCTAGGTTTCCTCATTTGTCTTTTGTGTAGGGTTGAGGCCTTACGGTCTTTTCCCTGTGCAGTTTGGCATGTTCATTGATGCCTTCTTGTTAAACTCACTCTTTTGGTGAGACTTTATGGGTGTAGCTTCTGACATTACTCAGAGACACATTCTCACAGCAAAGAACCTGATTGGCTCTTACAATCTTTCTGCCCCATCTTCCACAATGTTCTCTGAGCCTTAGATGTAGGAGTGTTTTATAGATGTATCCATTGGGACTGGGCTGGGCAACTCTGCGTTTTGACTGGTTGCGATTTTCTGTATTACAAAGAGAAGTTTTCTTGATTAGGGGCAAAAACTACAATTATCTGTGGGTATAAAGACAAGTGTTTATAGATTGTTGTTAGGGATTATGCTGGTTTTGTAAATTAGTGGTTGTAGATGCTCCTTCAATAACCATGACATTACTACCACCGATTAGTTAGGTAGGTTTCCAATACCAGGCATGATATCCTTCCAGGTGAGTGGATCCTAAGAAATCCAATTACAGAGTAGTTGATTACCACCAAAGTTTGTGTGCCACACCTGCACCCATATGGTTATCCTGCCATGTTGCTTGTTGTTGTCCACATGCCTCATAGTTCTGTAGGACTTCTGGTAGCCTCTCCTTTGGACGGTTGCATGTGTCTTCTGGTACCATGAAAGCGTCCTCAGGGATGGGGTATTCAGGTCAATTCCAGCTCAAGGGCTTCTGAGCCCTGTTTCTGAAGTGCATGGTGTCTTCAGCCATAATGACTTAGCTTCTATCTCAGGGGTAGCCAAGGGCAACAGCAATAAGCTGTATGCTATGGGAGTCATCTCTTAGATAGCCTTGGCTAACAACTTGAAAGAAGGCTTCTCATGTCTGACATTGGGGTTTTGTTTAGGTGGTCTTTGGCTCTTGGAGAGAGCACCTTCAGCCCAAATGAGAAAAGTTATATTTATACACTGAATTATTTGCATTATAGGTTTGTTTGTTTGTTTGTTAGGTAAATAATTAATAGGATGGTTCCTTGTGGCCTTTTCAGCTGTCCATATTGGTATTTTACCTACTTCCCACCTGCTTCTGAATTTACTTTCCCTCCCCTCACTAAGGAGCCCTCCCTTTTCCCATTCCCCCATCAGATCACTTGTATTGTACCACTTCTCTTTACCCTCTTTCCATCCTCTTCACTATTTACCCCCTTCTCCTTCTCTAAGGAGCCCCCCTGCCTTTTATTACCTTAATTAGATTACCATACTATTCCCCTTTGCTCCCCAACCTCTCTATGCCAGCAATGGTCCCGTTTTACTCTGCTGGTGTCTGTAATTACTACAGGCTATGCACTCACATCTGAAAATTTGGAGCTAGGAGCAATATGATCTTTTCTAGGCCCATCCACTTAGCTGCAGAATTCATGATTTTGTTTTTCTTTACAGCTCAATAGTATTCCATAATGTATGTGTACCACATTTTTGTTATCCATTTGTCAGTAGTAGGGCATTTAGGTTGTTTCCATTTTCTAAATATTGTGAATATATTAGCAGTGAACATGGCTGAGTAAGTATCAGTGGGGTAGGATGTTAATTTTAAGTTGATTCCAAGGAATGGTATAGCTGGGTCATATGGTAGATTTATTTTTAGCATTTTGATGATTCTCCACACTGGTTTCCAATAGTGGCTGTAGTAGTTTGAAATCCCAACCACAATGAATGAGGGTTCCCTTTCTCCACACTGCCTCCAGTATGTGTTATCCATTGTTGATAGTTGCTACTCTGACTGGGGTAAGATTAAATCTTAAACTTATTTTGATTTGTGTTTCCTAATTGCTAGTGTGGATGAACATTCTCTAAGAGTTTCTTTGCCATTGTTTTTACTTCTTTTGAGAACTCTCTTTTCAGATCCCAGGCCCATTTTTTTTTTAAAATAGGTAATGATTTGTTGTTGTTGTTTTTTTTTTTTTTTTTTTTTTTTTCACTCTTTTTTGAGTTCTTTGTATAGTCCCGATATTAAGCATTTTCCAGATATATAGCTGGCAAAGATTCTCTTTTATTCTATGGGCTTCCTCTTTACCCAGCTGATTGTTTCTCTGGCTCTGCAGAAGCCTTTTAGTTTTATGAAGTTTTGTTTGTCAGCTTTTAGCCTTAATTCTTGGGCAAATGGAGCCCTAGTCAAGAAGTCCTTTCCTATGTCTACATCATGTAGAGTACTGCCCATGTTTTCCTCAACAGTTAATGATTGATTCTTTTAAACTTCTCTGCTTATTTGGATCTTCAGCTTTTTCTATAATAGGTATATGGTAAGTATAATTTTTCAAAGTGTTCCCTTGGAGAAAAGCTGGTATTTTAGTCTATTTCTCTGTCTTTATTGAAAGTTTTTCAGGAATCACGAAGATTCTTAACCCGGTGACAACCAAACTCAAAGATGTACAGCAGCTGTTAAGAAAACTGCTTCCTCCTGATGCTGTTAGTGGGCCATTCCCTAGACTTGGATCTCAGAGTATTAAAAGTGTGTATCATCTTTAAGACTTTATTATCTAATACAGAAACATATTCTATTTATCTAAGATGTAAAGACTTAGGCTCTTTACTCCCAACCTTTTTCCCTGTTTTTTTCCTTTTAGCATAAGATGCTATTTATTCATTATTTTTTCCTCCTCAGATGATAAATCCATATGTTATTGATAATTCATTGCTTTATACCAGAAAGCAGGGCAGAAGATTTAAGCTACAATTCTTAGCCAAACTTATTTTGGGGTAGGTTTACACATGTTATAATGTTGTCTTTATATATTGTACATAAATTAATATGCATTATCCAGTTCAGTCTCTGTTGCCTCTCTTAATTTATAAACATTACTCACTCCAGTTCTAATGAATTGAAGAAGTTAAGGGGATACAATTAGACTTTACAGTGTAGGCATGTAATCCTAGCTATTTTGAAGGCATAAGTAGGAGATTCTCAAGTTCAAGGTTCTCCTGGTCTAGAGAGTGAAGTTAACAATATCTTGAGGAACTTAGTGAAACCCTGTCTAAATATGAAAAGTTATGTATTTGGATGGCAAGATGACTGAATAGGTAAAGGTGTTTGTTGCCTAACCTTATGACCTGTGTTCCATCCCTGGGATAACTGACTCCCATAAGTCCTTTGCCTATACCCCAACCAAACACACATACACATTGTACACACCCACACACATAAACAAATGTAATTTTTAAAGGAAGTTAGTGATATAACATTTGCATATCATGCTTAAGGCCCTAGGTTCAGTCCTTAGTACTACGGAATTACAAAATGTAGCATATTTACATTGAATATATCTTGTAATTTTGAAGCACATAAATACATGTCCATTATGACATGGTTCAAAATGAACAGAAGAAAAATTGTAGGGGACTGATTAAATTATGGTTGTGATATTATTCAAAGGATCTGTGTATGCTAATGTGGAAAACCCCAAGATATTACTTAGAATAAAGCAGAGTTGCTGAGTGGGTTCTATATGTAGATATTGATATAGTAGATTAGATCCATTAAGTATATTGACATAAGTATATGCATATTTAAGTTTTCATAAACAACCAAGAAGATATTTAAATGTATAGATACTTGCATATGAGTAAAAATTTTTGAAAGGAAACTTTTAGTGTTGATATATCTATGAGTGGGCTAGACACTCATAGATGGAATCTATGTGAGGATGGAATCAACGTGAAGGAGGGAGTTGGATGGGGATACAGAATATGAAAACTGATGACCAGGGTTTCAGTTTTGAGTTCTCTCACTTTTTTTTTTTTTTTTTTGCTTCTAGAAACCCATGCTACCTCTGGTAGTTCTGTACTCCCCTCTAGATCTTTCTTTAGATGATTGAATTATAGGTGCTGGTTCTGTCTGTAGGTAATACTTCACAAGTAGAATTGCAAATTCTATTAATATCTCTGTGTTCTTTCAACTTTGGAGTTGTGAATTATGGTCCCACCCCTGTACAATCCTTCCAGTGTCCAGTGGGCTGCTTGTAGTTGTAGTTGTCTCTGAGGAGACTGTGAGATTCCTTAATGCTCTGTTCAAGGTGGAGGTTACTGAGAGTCTCTCAGCCCAGACTCACTGCACCACTGCTGCTTTCTCCACTGTCTAGAGCCTGGGGTCTGCTGCTGCGTTGGGTTCCACGTTCTGCCCTGTGCAGCAATGGTAGGGGAGTGATGAGTGTTGTAGAGTTCTTGAGTTGTAGTTCCCTTTCCCCCATTGGAGCTGTCTGGGTTGCTGAAGCACTGACCTATGCTGATGGGTTTACAAAATATAGGTTCAGTCTTTGCCAACTCTTCCCTGCTGCCCAGTATTGTCATCACTTTGCTTCTACAATTGAAATCAGGCTAAGTTTTTCCTGAAGCCATTGATCCATGACCTGCCTACTTGTCATGGTGAAGCTGCCTCTGCCTCTCAATATGCCAGCTCCTCCTGAGGCACCTTACTGAATTTCACCTTCTTCATGAATGGTTATGATCCCTTTTTATTTTTAAATAGAAACAATTTTATTTTACATATAATCCCAGTTCCCTCTCCCTCCCATCCTCCCCTGCCCCCCCACATATCACCCTTCTGCTCCCCAGGGAGGGTGAGGCCTTCCATGGAGGATCATCAAAATCTGTCCCCTCTATGGAGAATGGGCTGGTTATGATTTTTTTTTAACAGACTTTACTAATAAGCATGTTCTCATGGAGGAGCTCAGCAGTGGCTACTCTGGGAATGGTAAGACACAGGGAGACTCTAAATAGGTTTGTGGTTTGTTTTGTCATTTAGATTTATTTATTTTATGTGTGTGAATGTTTTTGCCTGTGTGAATGTCTATGCACTCTGTGCATGCCTGGTACTGGTGTAGACCAGAAGAGGAGAGGGGATTCCCTAGAAGTGCAGTTAAAGATGGTTATGAGCCACCATGTGGGTGCAAGAAACTGAACCCAAGTTCTTGTTAGAGCAACAAGTGCTCTTAACCACTGAACCATCTGTGAACCCCCAAAATAGGTTATTTTTTTAAAAATTGTACCTCACTTCCCAAATAGACTCCCACTTTATGAAGAAGAAAAAAATATCAATTAGACTTTTGACAGTTCTATATTGATGTACTGACTTTTTTCATGTTGCAGTAAAGGTAATTTTTTTTTTTTTTCATTTCTAAAAGTTACATTTTCAGAGAAATACATTTTAAGGGACTGAGTAAGGAATGATGAGCCAAAATTGCCATTACATTTCACTCAGCCTCCCTTGGCTCTTTTAAACCATGTTCATATAACATTAGTAGTAGCCAGTAACAGATTGCTGTTCTTGGCTAAGCAGTCATAAACCATCTGATACTACTGAAGCCAGCTTGTGCCTGAGGCAGTGGCAGAGAATATCACCTCAAATTCTGTACAAAACCTTAAAATGATTTTTTACAACTTTATCTTCTTACAGATTGCAGAGCTCAATCTGGAGACATTAGCTAATCATGAAGAACTGAAAGCAGCTGGTCAAGAACCAGGAGACAAGGGAGGACCTGAGTGCCCAAGTATGAGGTGATATTTTTCATTTCAGATAAGAGCAAAGGAAAATAAAGAATGCATTTCCTAGTTTTTGACTATGACCAATGTCTAAAATGATGTGTTTTTGTTGTTATTGTTTAAAAAAGAAAGAACATGGTAATAGTTAAACTAAGATTTATTAGAAGAGATAATAGGGCCTTTAGTGTCTTTCTGAATTCAAGGCTAGCCTGGTCAACAGAAAGAATTCCAGGACAGCCAGGGCTATGCTGAGAGACCTTATGAGGGGGATGGGGTGGGGGGGCGGGGGGGGCAGAGAAGAGAATGCTAGAGTTGTTCTTTAATGCAGATTGGAGAAACATACACACACACACACACACACGCATGCACACACACATACACACACACATACACACACGCACACACATACACTCAGAAAGGGTTTGGTTTCAGACCATAATGAATATGTCAGATCCTTAAAATGTGGCTTAAATCTTGATAGCTTTAGGTATATTTATTGTTTATTATCCCTCCTGTTAGGGTAACACTAATTTGATTTTCTACCATGATGAAAATATTCTGGAGAGAATGGAAACCACTAATCACATAGGACTAATGCAGTTGATTAACTGGGAATTTAATTTAATCTTAATTAAATTTATATAACTAAATGTTGCTAGTGACTATGATATTGGACAGTATTATAGGCACAAAAATTAACTAGGAGATCATAATCTAAAAATAACTATTCTCATTTTAATCTCTTGTACTTCTTTACTGTGTTTTAGAATGCCTGGATTCAATGGGTCAGAAACTCTTTTTCTTGACCTGGGATATAGATGAACTTTCTTCTTCTAGAAACTGTCAAATTATTAGGTACTCTACAAATTAAAAAGATGAATGACCTATTGTACCTTTGTAGTATGTTTTCACAAAAGAGGAAGATGTAACCTTTTGTATGGAAGTGCCAAGAATTTTATACCAATAACACTGGCTAAAATGAGCAAGTCTGGCTTCTGTCTCAAATCTTTCATGGAGCACTGTTAAGTCAATTAGTTCATAGGAGCAGAGTTGCCAGCTGTCAGTGTCTGCACGCCACTTAGAACATCTGTTTCTGGTGTATGGAGATAATTGTTTTGCAGCCTGATTGTATCTTTTTATATTTTATCTGTCATTGTTCTGTGTATGTAATATGAGCCCCAGTATTAATTTGTCTTCCCTACTCACCCAGCACTGGGATTATAAGTATTCTGCCATTTCTGGCTTTTATTTATGTGGGGCCAAACTCAAGTCCTTGTGCTTGCTCAGCAAGCTGTTTACCCTCCTGAGCTCCTGAAATATTCTTTTATTTGACAATTTATTAGGTATAATTTTTATTTTTGGTATGTACATAGGTATTTTGCCTATGTGTGTATTTCTGTACCCATGCCTAATGCCTAAGGAGCCCAGAAAAAGGTATCAGATTCCAAGTTACAGGCAGTTGTGGGTTCTCATGTGGGGCCTAGGAATCAAACCTAGTAGAGAAACAGCCAGTGCTCTTAAAAACTAAGCCACCATTTTAGCCCCACAGTTGGTTTTGTTAATTTAAAAATCTTTAAGATAACTAATGTGTAAGTACTACATTCCCATCCTTCCCTCTACTTCCTCCAACTCCCTCATCAAATTAAAAACCTTACTTAATATTATTGATATACACACACACACACACACACACACACACTTAAGTGTGTGTGCGCATCTATGTGAATCTCCCTTCTATTTGTTGTTTAGGGCTTGACCAGTTGGGATTGGATAACCTATCAGGGAGCTCATCCTTGAAGAAGACTGATTCTGCTTCTCCCATATTTCCTCCAACCAGGCTGGAATGTCAGCTGGTGTTGTCAACATGCAGATACTATTTAGGCAAGCATATTGTTGAGAGTTTGTAGACAGAGCTTTTTGATCATGTTTAGAAGATATTGTCCTGCAACAGGCATCCTGATCATTGGTTCTTACAGTTTTTCTGTCCCCTCTTCTGAAATGTTTCTTGAACCTTGGATATAAGGGTTGTGACGCAGATGTATAAACTGGGGCTGGGACCCCACAGTCAGTTTTTCTCTGCATGTGACCAGTTGTAGATTTCTGTAGTAGCCTCCATGTGCCACAGGAAGCAGATGCACTTACCTGGGGTAAAGAGAGTAAGTGTTTAGTAGGAAGTTAGAGATTATACTAGTTTAAGAACGTGGCAGTAATAGGTTCTCCTCTAGGATTCATGACCTCACTAGCCATGGGCAATTGGCTAGGATTGTAGTAGCAGATGTGAATTGTCTCCTACTGAATGGGCTGTAAGTCCAGTTAGACATCTATTAATTACCCTCAAGATAAAAATACCATTAGTACACCAACAGAAAAATCTTATCAGCTGTAAAGACTAGGACCCACAATAGTGATGAGCCCAGGAAAAGGTAATTCTAAGTTGTATATTTTAGTGGTTGTGTTGGGATTTATAGTATACTGACATTAATAGTTACTTATTGCAATTTACCTTTATTTAATAGCACACCTTTTCATGTGTATGAACCTTACAACCATATACTTGCATTTCTTTCCTCTCAATCATAGTACATTGTTGTTATCATATCTTATTTCTATGTATATTATAGAAGCTACTCTATATTGTTACTAAGTTTGCTTTGGCTGTGGGGTTATTTGAAGAGATTTTAGGGGCTGGAACAGTAAATGGTTCAGTGTATAAGCAGACTTGGCTGCTTTTACAAAGGACCCTGTTTCAGTTTATAACCACATGTAAGTCCAGTTCCAGGGGATCTGAGACCTTCTTTTGACCTCTACCAGCACTAGGAACATAATGTGGTATACATACATACATGCAGATAAATACTTACGCACATTAAAAAAAAAAAAAAAAAAACATAAGCCAGGCAATGGTGGCTCACAACTTTAATACCAGCGCTCGGGAGGCAGAGGCAGGCAGATCTCTGTGTGTTTGAGACCAGCCTGGTCTACAAGAGCTAGTTCCAGGACAGCCTCTGAAGCCACAGAGAAACCCTGCCTCAAAAAAACAAAACAAAAATACCATAAAAATAGATTTTAGTAAGAAGATATAATATGTATATTTACCATGTGATTATCACATTTAGTGGGATTTATTCCTTCATATAAATCCAAATTTTAATCTGGGCAGTAAAGAGTCTATAGGTATGAAATTCTAAACAGCTTTTATATACTTAACAGTCTTTTTCTTTAACTTTCAAATTTGGAAGATATTTTGATTTACATTTGTTTTACTCTAGTACTTTATAGATTCTGTTATGTCTTTTAGATTCCATGAGATTTCATACCTTAGTATCTTAGTTTTCTTTCTGTTGCTGTGATAAATACCATGACCCAAACCAACTTAAGGAGCAAAGGATTTATTTGGTCTTATGCTTCTGTGTTAAAGTCCATCATTGAAATAAATTAGGGAACCTGGAGGCAGGAAGTAAAGCAGAGGCCATGAAGGAGCACTGCTTGCTGGTTTACTCCTCATGGCTTCCTCAGCTTGACCACTGCCCAATAATGGCAGTGCTTCAAGGGGCTAGACTCTCCATCATTCATCACCAATCAAGGAGGTGCCTCACAGACCTGCCCATAGGTCAGTTTGACAGAGGTAATTCCTCAACTAAGGCTTCCTCTTCCCAAATGACTCCAGCTTGTACTAAGTTGACAAAAACGAAACAAATAAACAAAACCCAACCAATACACTGAGTTTATCATTTTTATAAAATTAGGGGAAAAAATTTTTTAACTTCTCTACTTTTGTTTGAGGACTTCTACTATCTTCACTTTAGGATGCCAAGAGTCCCATAGACTGTTAATGTTCTCCAAGTCTTTTCCTCTCTGTTTTATTGAGGAAAGTCAGGGCAGAAACTTGAAGTAGAAACCCTGAAGGAATGCTTCTTGCTGGTGTTCTCTAGTTCATATTTAGTTATATATCCTAGGACTTCTAGCCCAAGGGATGGTGTCACCCACAGTGTGCTGGGCCCTCCTACATGAATTAACAAGACAATTCCCCAGACATACCCTCCTCTCATGACGATATCTTATGTCAAATTGATGATTAAAGATGACAGAAACACCATGTAAAAGTCAGATAGGCCTAGTGGGGGGGATAGGGAAAGGTAGAGATAAAGATACCTGGAGCATGCTGGCTTGCCAGACTAGATGAAACAGAGAGCTCCAGGTTCAGTGAACTACCTTGCCTCAAAGTGACTAATATCAACCTCAGGCTTCCATACCAATATGCACATGTAACTGCACACACATGCACCATAACATGAAAACATGCATACACACATACATACACAAAAAGAAAAAGGGAGGGAGGGAGGGAGAAAGAGAGATAACCAGTTCTGGTTTTATGGACTGCTTCATGAAGCATCTCTTGCTCCTTCAAGATTTGTGTTGCCTGGAATTTTGCATTTCTAACTGTCTCAATTTTCTTGGCAGTTTGTGCTGCCTCTTTTTTTGTAGCCCATAATGTTTTATACCTTCCAGCATCTTCCAGCATCTCTAATATGTCATAGTAATCTGTTTTTAATGAGTTCAAGTCAGATGAGAAGAAACAGTTTTTCAGGCAGCCTCCAGGTTTTCTAGAATATTGGGTACACAGTCCACTCTGTTTGCATTCCAAGAGAGACTCTCTGGAGTGAGAAGTTATGCTCCCATTAAGCCTCTGTTAATTCAGAAGGAGAGAGATGGACACACAAAATACTGCACTGTCATTTCCCCTCACTAGCATGTCTTACCTCTCAAGAGCTGGAGGGGTGTTTATTTGTTTGAGACTGGTTTTATGGTGTTAGGAAGAAGAGAGGAATTTATAATATTGTTAGGGAAAACTGGCATTTGCCATCTCCCTCTGCAAGAGCTTCACTTTACCTTTTTATTTTCATCTTTGCCCCATCTACAAAGGACACCACCCTTTTTCTATACATTTCATGTTGCTTTCTAGTTGCTAGGCTTGTAGCCAGGTGTTATGCAGTATCAAAGGCATGGCATTATTTGCATTTAGTTGGACTTCTTTCTAGGGGTACTTCTGCTTATACTTCTTCTAATTCTTTAAGGCACATTGATTCTCCTCCCCACTACACACCCCCACCACTAATGACTCTCTTAAGCCTCCTTTTTTTTTTTTTTTTAAATTTTCTTTATTGACTTGAAGCTGTGTGTAATGATGAGGGCCTCTGTTGGAATTTATTTCTCACAGGTGATTTGAGTGTGGTAATCACTCTCTTACTAATATTTAAAATATGGGTCATGCGTGTTATGTTACCTTTATGGCTTTTATGTGATACTAGAGGGTTAAACCCAAGTTCTTGTGTATGATAAGAGCTGTTCCACTATGTTATATCCCCAGCTCTTTTTATTTTGATACAGAGTCTCACTAAGTTGCCCAGCCTAGCCTTGAATTCAACCCATAGCCTGTTTTTGAATTTGCTATCCTCAGCTTCTCTGTGGTTGTACTTGTAAGCCTGTGGCCCCAGGCCTGTTGCAAGCTGCTTTTAGAAAGAAAACAAGTCTTATATTCCTAGAAAGGTATATTGTTCCTGAGGTTCTACAGTACCAGGTTGATTATGAAGTAGATGTATCAAGTTCCCCTTCTATCTCCCTGCTTCAGAAATTCACTGCATATATTATTCTTAGACAGAAGACATAGTATATTCGACTGAAAAGAACAGATGCTATGCTGGGTCTTAGCCTAAAGGCCAAGAAATGGTGATTTAGTGGCTTTTCCAGGAGACTGTATACTGTTACCATTTTTCTCTAGACCTGGAAGTCAGCTGTGTACTACTTTGGGATATAAGAAGGCAACTGTTTATGTTTTTTTGTGGCTCCTGGAGGAAGTTGAATGAGTACTGGGTTCTAACTCATTCTGTCTGTTCTCTTCAGGTGCTTGAGCAAGCCAGAGTGGAAGTCCCTTTGTTCCCCTTCAACATCGTACAGTTCTCTTTTAAGCCCTTTTCACCTATCGTTGCTGAGGAGATGAAGAAAAGAGTAAGTAGATGGGTTCTGCTGAACTCTTGGATAACTTAGGACCTCTCTTCATTAAGGAAAGTAATGCACTCTTGATTAAATTCATACCCATTTCTCCAAATTACTTCTATATATGTTAACATTTGAAAAACATGTTTTAGAAAACTAGGAATAAGATTGAGTATACTGTTTTGCAACTTTACTTTGTCTTATGTATGTGTTTAGTGTATGTGTTCAGGTGTGGGTGGGTGGGAGTGGGTGCATATGCCTATGCATGTATAGTCAGTGACAAGGTCAGAGGCCATCATTAAATATCTTATCCTTTTGTAGCTTATTTTTTGAGACAGGATATCTCATTGAATCTGGAGCTCACTGATTTGGTCATCCTGTCTCTACTGCTAGCACTGGGATCGGAGAGACATATGCATGTAGGTGCTGGGGATCTGAACTCGGATCATTAAGCAAGCACTTTATCCATTGAGCCATTGCCCCAGACCCTTGTTACAACTTTATTTTTTTAATTTAATTTAAAATGTACCTTCTGTGTTATTGCATAGTTTATTTTTCTTATTTTTAAGGTATGCAAAGAATCTACTGTATAGGTATACTGCTGTATACCTATTATTGAGGACATTTGTGTTTTTAATTTTTTCCTATTATAAATAATGTTGCAGAAGACATCCTTAAATAGATACTCTTTGTTGTATTCTGTTTTTTGTTTTTCGAAACAGAGTCTTTATGTAGCTCTGGCTGCCCTGGAACTTTCTGGAGACCAGGTTGTCCTAGGAATCACAGAGTTCCTCCTGCCTCTGCCTTCCAGAGTCCTGGAACTCTGAACTAAAGGCGTGAACCACCATGTCTGGCTAGAATAAGTAGCTGAACCATGTATAATTATTTTTTCCAGATCTTATATTTTTGTGTACTTATAATTTTTATTTTGTTTTGTTTTTGTTTTTGTTTTGTTTTGCTTAAAGAGATATATATCATGTAGGCCAGACAAAAATATGTCTGCTGAAGACAGGTGTAGTAGTACATGCCTTTTATCTCAGAACTCCAGGAGGCAGAGGCAGAAAGATCTCTGTGAGTTTGAGGCCATTGTGGTCTTCACAGAGAGTTCCAGGAAAGCCAGGGTTACAAAGAGAGAACCTGTTTCAAAAAACAAAAACAACAAAATCCCTGCTGATTGAATATAGCCTTTGTGCTAACCTCACCTTCAAATGATAAAAATATCCTTTAAAAAAGAATAGTTGGATGGGGGATGCTAGGGGTTTCTTGGAGGGATGGCTCAGTGGTTAAGAGCATATACTTCTCCTCTGGAGGACCTGAGTTCAAACTCCCAGCAACCGCATCACGCAACTCACAGCCAGGGGAATCAGACCCCATTGGCCTCTGTAGGCATATGCATATACCCACACACAAATGTACATACACATAACTAAAAAGAATACATTTGAAAAATAAAATGATTCTCTTTAAAAAAAAAAAAAAAAAAAGTAGTGAAGCTACCTGGTAAAATGCTTCAGTAGATAAAGACACTTGCTACCAAAATTGATGATCTAAATTTAATTTCCAGGACTAACATTGGTGGAGGGGAGGACCAGTTTCCATAAGGTGTCCACTGATTTCTACATGTCAGTCAGGACACACACACACACACACACAAATTACAGAACTGTAACTTCCCTTTCTTAGGAAGTTATATAGGTGTTTTGTTTGTGTAACCCTGGCTGCCCCGAAACTTTGTAGACCAGGTTGGCCTTGAAGTTCTATAGGTTTTAACTACAGGCCACTAGCTAGGATACAATTAAGGATGATAGATTTTTATAAATGGTTTTGAGGGTAAGGAATGTATGGTGTGTGTGTGTGTGTGTGTTAAACCTAGAGCCTTAGGCATGTTAGACAAGCTACCATTGAGCTACATTTTTAACCCTTTTTATTTTAGTTTTAGAAAGGATCTCATTGTGGAGCGTGTATTGTTTTTAAGATATGCAGTCTTCCTAACTCAGCTTTTGAGTGGCTGGCATTACAGGTGTATGCCAGCATACACTATACTTAGCTTTAATTTTCATTTTCTATTTTTGAAGAGAAATTTATTTAGTGTATTGTAAGGGGCATTGAGTAGTGTAAAAAGTTCTGCTGGCCTGCTTTTCTTTTTTAAATTCTCTAGTCTATTGGAGTAAATGTATGTAATGGATTTTTATTTATAAAAATACTCTTAAGGATTTTAATGATTTTAAAACTATTTCAATAAAAGGAAAACATTTTTAATTATTTAAATACTTATATGTAATCTTAAAATGTATATAATTCAAAGGACTTAAATAAATATCCCATCTTTATGGTCATACCATCATTATATCATCCATAGATAAATGACTAAGGTTGACATCTGAAGCAATAGCATTAACATGAAAGAAGATATGACAAGAATTAAAACTAGAAACATCAAGGTAAGGTGGCCAAAGCAGAAAGCAGCTTCCTTCCCCTAAGCAAGGCTTACCATAGCCCATATGCAGGGACATCCTGGAGATGCCCAGGCATGGGACATTGTAATAAATACCCTTAGGGAAGACTCAGTAATTTTCAGTTTTATAAAATCCAGCCTGGGCCAGACTAGGGTCTTCATTGTGTTCCTTATCAAGTATCCTTATCCCTGGATAGTTTGTTCTGAGAGCCGATTCTGAGTCTGCCCATTCCTTCAGCTTTTAAGGGGGTAAGACAGTGATATTGTGAAGTTCTTTTTGTACAAGTAAACAAGATTACAATGGAGGCAGGCAGGGAACTGGAGAATATAGATTTATATGAAAATATGTATTTTATATATTTATCAATTAAGTCTAAAATCAGTTCTGTGAAGCACTTATTGGCTTCCTTATATTTTAGGAAGCTGCATATTGACTTACTAATGTACAGCATTGGCAGAGGGTTAGTTAAAATGGTGACTTTGTACCACTAATATATCATCTTTTCTTGGTCAGATACACAGGCCTGTGACAGAATTCACCCTTGAGTGTGATACCCTTGTGCATGAGCTAGAGCAAAATTCTGAGAACCAAGGCACTATCTATGTCACTGTGTTAGATGAGACTTTTAAAGAACACCTGTTGGAGCAGTCCAGCCTCTTTCCTGGCATAGAAGCTATGATCCTACCTAAAGATGTTAAAAACAGAAAGCAAAAAAACTACTGTTTCTTAAGTTTACACCATTAAATGTAGCCTTGAAGGAAATTGGAGGTTAAAGGGACTCACCAAACAAGTTCTCCTCGAGTAGACCAGGGTGGAGCTTCTAATTAATTTTATCCTATCCCCATACTTTAGCCAGGCCTTAGTTTATCTGTTGTTCTGCTTTCTTGGCCCTCAGTAACAAATGTTGGGATTTTCCTACTTTCAGAGTTCAAAACTCGTGACAGTGCCCAGGTAGCTCTTGAAATTTTCAAAGGCAAAGACTGGAAGTTGAAAGGCAGACATGACCTAACCCCCAGGCACCTCTAGGCATGGCTTAAGGACATACATCCTGAACCAGCAGTGCCTTCAGGATTTCAGATAGTACCCACTCTCTTGGAGAAGCATGTCTTCCAGGTAGAGTGTGTCTTGGGGTCAGTGGGGAAGGTAGCTGCTGGGCTTTCTGGCTCTGGCCCTGGCCTTCTGGAGCAGTTAGGAAAGACTTGCTCATGGGCACTACATGCCTCAGGCTCTTTGTTGGTTTGTTTTTCCTGCCCTGGCCCCTGTCTTATGTCACTCTCCAGCCCTGGCCATATTTGTTCTCTCAAATCTCAAACACTTTTGCCCAAAATCCAATTATTTTTCAAGGTAAGGAACTTTGAGGGACTAGGATGGGAGACTGGAGAGTTGGGTAAGTCTTAAGTGAACTAGTTCAGGGCTTTCCAAAGTATGAAAAAATTCCCAAGGTAAATTTTGGCTGTCATAGGTAGACTTTTTTTGTTTCCACTCCTATAGTTAAGGACTTACGTTAAACTATACAACATCAGACCTGAGATTAGGCCAGACTAAGGCAGTTCACTCACTTTAAAGGAAATGCCTTTATAAAGAAGTCACATGTATAAGAGTAGTGATAGAAGGCTACTTAAATGTTGGGAAACTTGCTGTAGTCTCATTCTTAGCAGACAAAGGGTAGAAATTAGAGCTGGTCAGTGATTCATCCAAGGTCACAGACACCCTTAATGGCAAAGGCAGGCAGGGAACCTCGTCATTGATACAGCTCCCTAGCTCAGGGCCCTTTAGGAAGATCTGCTAGAATGGATCAACAGCAGCTTTCCTCTGCCACAAACGTTCTAAGTTACCTGAGGTGTATAGAGGGCTACAGTTTCAGACAGGGATTTTCCCCCAGAGCTTCCTGTGGCTTTAGAACCCAAGAAAGTGCTTTAACTCTTCTAAAGGTGAACAGGTGGCTAAATGTTGACATATGACTTTCGTCCTAGACTCTAAAGGAGGACCATCCAAAGACAGTAGCTTGGCACTGTAACCAGAGGATTAAAAGGCTCTACCACAGCCTGAGCCCAGGCACCCTCTGCCTCATCCTGCTGCCAGGAACCAAAAAGTAAGACTTGACATGTTGTCCTTGGGATTCTGACCCTTGGAATTCAGCTGTTTTTTTTTTTTTTTTTTTTTTTTTTTTTAAGGAAATGCCTTTAGTTAAGTAATGTCTAGGCACATAATAAGGATTTTCATGAGTTCTTGTCACAATTCTAAAAGGTAGACATTACATTCCTGTTATACTTGTATGCTAATCCCACCTTAAAATCAGAGGCAAGAAGAGATACCTAATGTGACAAAAGAAGAACAAGATGTCCTAACACTGGGCCTCCTTATATATCAGAAGTATGTTCTTCCCTATTTTTTTCCCTGTTGCCATTTCTGTTTTGAGGGACAGCAATTCTAGCCCTCAATTTTAACCCTAGTAAATACTGAAATAGGTTATGTGGGTCTGGTTCGAGCTCCTATTATATAAATTTTTAACAAGTGGCCAAGCTACTTACACATCATATGTCTAAGTTAGGAAGGTGGTACACACACATAATGCCAGCATTTGGAAGACTGAAGAAGGATTATGAGTTCCAAGCCAGTCCAGGGGTACATTGCGAAAACATGTCTCAAAACAAAATTCTCTTGTGAGGGATTTTTCAAAACATAAAGTAGGTTAAATACTTTATTTAAAGAAAAATTAATGTTAAATCCTAAAACATATAGTGTGGTGTGTGTATGTATAGAGCCTTTTTGGAATAGTTAGAAAATTATAAAACTATTCTAAGTTTTTCTTTGTTATATTTATTTATTTATTTATTTATCTTTTGTGTGTGGTTATACATACATGTCCTTAGATCACCAGGCTCACTGGCAAATGCCTTTACCCATCAAACCATCTTGCCAGCTCAAACTGTGTTGTTTCTAGGCGTAGTAGTGCATACCTGTAATCATAGCACTTGGAAGGTAGAGGCAGCCTCAGCTACATAAGGAATTTAGGGCACTGTGAGCTACGTAAAATTCTGTGTCAAAAATTAAAAATATCTTAAGATTTTGATATTCTAGGAGATACTGTACTACAAATAATAGTTTAAGTAATATATTTATATTTGGCTTTTTTCTTTTCCTTTTTTTGGAGGGGGGGATTGGGACAGGTTCTCTTTACATAACTTTGGCTGCTGGGATTAAAGGCATATGGACACCACACATGACTAGATTGTCTTTTCATGGTGTCCGACAGTTTTTTTTATATACCTTTCATGTGTTCATTTTTTCTTTGCTAGTGTGTTCCAATTCTTATCTCTATATGTATATACATGAGTTTGTGTGTGTATATGCCACATGAGTTTGAGTGCATGAGAGGTCAAAAGGAGGCAGAAGATCCTCTGGAGCAGAAGTTATAGGTAGTTGTAAGCTACCTGATGTGAGTACTGGAAACCGAAACTGAACTTGGGTCCTCTGCAAGAGCAATGAGTGATACTAACCACCTAAGCTCACTCATCCATAATTCCTCTACTTTATTTTCAAGTCCTAATATTCTGTCTTTTTGATCCATTCTACTGGTAAGGCTTTCCCAAGTTTTCTAATTGGGTTATTGAGTCTCACAATTTCTTTATGTCTACCTCTTTACTAAATTCAGTTTTCAGATCTTGAACCGTCTTGCCATTGCATTCAGCTATGGATTTATTCAACCATTCTTGGATTTATTCTTATTCTCCCAAGTTACAGTAAGTTGTTTACTGTAATATTCTTTAACCTCTTGGATTCATTGATGGTGTTTATGATTGTTCTTTTAAATTGTATACTGAGATTAATCTAGGTAGTTTTCGAGAACATTTCTATAGAGCTGGTGAGTTGTAAAGGGGACATAATGTCTTGGCCTTTCATATTTGTGTTTTGCAGTGATCATGTAGACTTTTTTGGTTGTATGTCTGATTCTAGGCTGCCTCTGTTGATTGGAAGTTTTGTTGTTGCCCAAGCTTTGTTATTTTCAGATCGGGTATCAAGAGTTGTATGTAGTCAGTCCTTCAGGTACTCAATGTTGATTGTGGATTGGACAAATGGGTGATTCCAATTCGGTGGTAAACAAGAAATAAGAGTGGATGGGATGGATGGCTATTATGTATACTGGGCTCGTTGGGTAAGCCAGCGTCTTGGGTACTCTCCAGGCTAAGCCAGAGTATAAACTGTATGACTAAAGTGGGGCCGTGGGATTAGGAACATGGCAGGCAGGTGAGAGCTCAAGATACTCACCGGACTTGGCCAGGACATGGGATGACTAGGCAATGATGTTGGGGATGGCATAAACAGGCAAGAATCCTGAAACTCAACAGACTGGACTAGTGCACAAGATGTTTTATCCATTCTAAGCCCAGAGGTCTGATGTGGTGCAGGTAGGCAAGGACCAGGAGACTCACTAGACTGGCTTGGCACTAGACCCTTATTAAGTAAGTATTGTGCTACACACATAGACTTTGGGTCACAATTATTAGAATCCTTAATAAGCACAAATGTAATGCCTCTTTTTAAGCAATTTACCAAGGGCACACAACTAGTAAGTGCAACTACTCATGCTTTGAACCATATGACTATAGAGCTGTTCAAAAAAGGCTAGTACTTGCAAAGCTTCTCTTTTGCTCATTTTCTGCCTTCGCTGTATCAAAGAGCTCCTTTAGCTTTCTTAATCCAGTCCCATGAATTTTCATAAAACGTGGCAGTGAACAGGTATCAGATGACCTCTCAGTTGTAAGCACTGTCATGCATCATTAAGTAAGTAATATTATAAAGTTTTTCAGATGGCACTAACAAAGTCTTTAAGGAAAATGAAAAGACTAACACCAGTTTCTAAGGACTCTGAGGACAGATTTTCATTACTGAAACCTAGCTGTTACTTGCCAGTATGACTTAAACAAATTATGTCTGTTTCTTTGCTTGGAAAATGAATACTTGTGTCACTGAGATGTTCTTTGGGATTAAAGAAACAGGTGTCTTTTAGATAGTTTTACTATCTATACTTGATTTGTAATTAAGTGCGCAGTGAATGCTGGTTATTGCTATACTTCTTTAAGCCTTAGTGGCCTACTAACCTAAACATTTTAGAGTTTTGTAGTTGAGTGAAAAAATAAGGCATTTGAAATGTGTCATCTATCTCTTGAGCAGCAGAGCTAGGATTTGAAGTAGGCTTTTCACTAAGTTCACTCCAGCAGGTAGCTTTCCATAAGTCTGCCTTTTGGTACGTTGTACATACTTACTTAAAAACTTACTTCTTCTATCCTAGGAACATACAGCCATTCATTTAGCCCTATAGATAAAAATATGTTTTCTTTATTGCAGTACTTTTGGATCACACCCTGGCCTAGGACTGATGAAAATAAAAGAAGAGGAAAGTAACACTCCAGGCCTGGGAGTGTGAGTCTCCCCATACTTTCCAAGTGCCACTTCACCTATAGAGAAAGTAGCTAAGCTACAGTCCCTTCAAGAGGATGGCAAGCCTTTCCATCTAGCAGACAGCTTTGGTAAAAAGTATACCAGCTAAAGTATTATTGTCATGACCAATTTTTCAATAAAGATTTAAAACTCAAACCATTTCCTCCTTTTAAGACATGGTGTGTGTGTGTGTGGGTGGTGGTGGTGGTGAGTGGTTTGTTTCTGAGTTTATTTACATAGGTACTGACTGATTGTTGTAGCACTACATTAAATGGCATATACTGTAAAGGCTAAGAGAAGAAAATATAGCCAGTTCATCAAATTGCTATAAGTAACTGGCTAACCTGTTTACTCTTTGGCATCTATTATAAAGTTAAAGGGGGTAGGGAGCAGGCTGAACTAAACATCTGGCAAGAGCAAAGATAGTGGAAAACAGCTTTATAGTTAAAACACTTCCATGATTGGGAATTCCTTCTTGGGATACAGCTGCAGCATCACCCTTCACCAGCAGGTGGCTCCACCACACCAGGGCACCACCTGGAAACTAGAAACTCAGGAAAATAGTGCTAAGATTTAAGGTGACTAGCTAGTAACACTGTTGGAAAGATGGGACACAGGCCCACAATTGCAAATCTGGTACATATGAAATGCTCCAGAGAAAGTGAACTAATCTGTCAGTCACACCTAAAATCTTGCTTTTCTACACTCAGATCCTACAGTTCGACCAGAAGAATTGAAAATAGTAAGATGCTTGTACAAAAAAGTGCAAAGTAGATGTCACGGCGTTGTTACAAAGGAAGAAGTGTGCTGTGTACATGTTAATCCCAGCTTTTTTTAATTACTGGATTTCTCAACTTAAGTTAAATACTGTTAGTCCAGGCACAGAGATATTAGTATCTAATAAAATTATTTGGCTTTTTGAGACAGGGCCTTACTATGTTGTCCTAGCTGTCCTGGAACACTATGCAAACTTTACTGTCCCTAAACTCGAGATCCACCTGTCTCTGCCTTCTGGTATCAAAGCCTGCACCTAGCTTTCAGAATTCTCATTGGAGATAAACAAACTTGAGTTCTCAGTCATGCATGTAATGATCTGTTTAAAACAACAAACAAACAAACAAACCAGGCAGGCTTGGTGGTGTACCCACTCTGGAGACAGAGCCAGGTAGATAAGAGTTTGAAAAGCCAGGCCAATCTACATAGTGACTTCCAAGCCACCCAAAGCTACATAATGAGACCCTGTTTCCAAAAAAAAAAAAAAAAAAAAAAAAAAAAAAAAGTTCAGTATCATTACTTTTGTAGTTTGCAAAGAAATAATTCTGAAACTTAACTAGGGTTGGGCACATAGGGCCCTTAAATGAAGCCTCTGTAAGATTGGGCCATAAGCATAAGTGGAACCAAGCACCAGGGTTTGATTTTAGATCAACTCACTGATTCCTGAAGTACCTCTGTCAGGAGGAAACTTGTATTGTGCCAACTTGAGTTTCCTTTCCAGCTAAGCTCTCAAGCAGTGGGGTTCAACTGATACCTACCTTTTAAGGTTCCTATCCTGAAATTCAGTGCCTCTAGTGGACACGCACAGGCCTGGGGTAGAACTCCAGCTCTGTTGCTGGTGGGTCATTCTGAGTCCATTTCCACAGCTGTGTAAGATGAGGAAATACTTCTAAGAATTATGAGGCTTGTGAAAAATGTCAAGACTGTGAACTATTTTCTCGAGACTGTTTAAAATGGGGAAATCAGTACCTACTTCTTGGTTGAGAGGAAGATTAAATTAGCAAAATGTTGCAAGAAACTATTGAGGTTCTCTGAACTGGGCAAGATTTTCCTTCAGCATGGATAAGGCACCCCCCCCCCCCCGGGCCCCAACTGCAGAACTGAAGAAATGGACCTAGCTTTTAAGCCTCTGAGACTTATGCACACTGTGTTCTTCCAGCTGATGCTCCCACCTTTTGGAAACCAAAGCTGCCAACTTGGCCTCTTGCAAAACACACATTCCATTCATAAGTGTGTTTGTGCATTGTTCCTCCCACACCCTTCTAGGCAGCCAATGCTGAGCTGCCAAGGCAGCTGCCTGAGGAGCAGTCTTAGGGAAACGACAACCCCAAGAGAAAAGGGAACTGGAGGTTTGTACAGAACTCTTGATTTGGGTTTTGAACTTCTGTGCCTATATTGGAGTTTAGTGCCCAGAACATTATGTCATGTTTGTTTCTATATCCTTGAACCTCTGAAAATGGCATCTAATAAGATAAATAGGGAAGTCAGTATAAGTTTGAAAAATTAAGGCTATATCCACCACCCAGAAGTAATGACTGCCAGTATTTTACAAGCTTAGATTTTTTGGTCATTATTCAGATTTTAAAATAGCTGCATAATATTGTATCATAATTCATAATTTCTAAAACACTACTTTGTTGACTCTGAAGATGCAGGTTTCATTCTTGCACATACATACTTGGCAAAGAAGTTACTGTATTAATGCATATTGATATTTAAAGTTCTTTTAACTACAGAAAGATTTTACTCTGACTCAAATCTTTGCCAATTTGTTACATTAAGGAACAGTTTTCATGTTTAATTATATTTTCTTGAGTACCATTTAGACTGGCATCCAACTTATTTAAAAGCTTTTTAGCCAGATTTTCTTCAATGAGTTGTATATATCTGCTGTCTGTGCTTTTGGTAAGCCAACTACTTTTGCATGTTGACTTTTTAAGAACTTCTTGTGGATTAAATATGGTATCCTTCCATCAGTCTTAAAATTGCTTTCTAGTTTGCTTTTTAAGGCATGGGAATCTTGTGATTTAAAGTACTGATTGATCCTAAAATCAATGTAAACAACCAATGGCAAGGCCTATATATCTCTATGATTTGACCTCTATACTTCCTGATACTTACTTTTCTCTCATATGTAGATAAATTTACCCAATTATGTACCTTTGCTTCTTTCATAATTTGGGTCAAAACCCAGAGCTAGAGAGATAACTTCCAGAGCCAACTCAGCTATATGTTTTGAGAACTTCATAGGAGAGACAAGAATTGAAGAGATTCATCTCTCTGAACTACTTTTTAGCATACTTCCTTGGTAAAAGTCCATTCCATGTACAATTATGCTCATCTGAAAACTGTATAAGAACTACTTGTCAATCATTTAATTAAAAACAGGATTTTATCTGCTTGTAATCTGTTCAGCACTCTTAAGAGCACCCAAACTGGCCATCTTCCATTCCACTCTGCTATTCTCCAATCTGTGCTTATTAATAAAGGAGACAAAGCACAGAAATAACAAACCCAGGAGTCAATGGGAGGAATGTGAAGCAAGGGTAAAAACTACACTTATTTTAGGAAATACCAAGCTTTCTAACTGAAAATGGTTCCCTGATCCCCATCCTGTACTTACTAGATCTTAGGAGATACCAAGAGGCTAGGAACCTTTGAGGGACCATCAACACTTCTACCAGAGAAATGAGCAAGATGTCTGGTCAGTACTATTCTCAAACATACCATAACCAGAAAATACAGGAAATGAACTGAGGGTCTTAAGTCTAGAACTTAAGAAATAAATGGCTACTTCAGAGTTCCTGTTAAATTTTTCTTCTGTGGTGATATATTATGATTTATTAAAGCTTGCCTAAAGATTCTGAAAGCAAAGTCAGCCACAAGCCACAGAAGCCAGGCACACACCTTTAATCCTAGGACTCAGGATTAAAAAGCAGATGGAATCTCTCTGAGTTCAAGGCCACTCAGGGATACATGAGATAAAAGTAACAGATCACACACCTTTAATCCCAGCAATAGAGGGGTAGAAAAGATAGAAGCAGAATCTTCAGCATTCTCCAGTCACACTGAGGAGGGGATACATACAGTCTGAGGCTTGGTGAGAGCTCAAGGAGAAAGGATCAGCCCATTCAGCCTGAGGTAGGTAAGAGCTAGTGGCTGGCTACTTTGCTTTTCCAAACTTCAGCTTGAAGTTTGAACCCCAATTATCAGTCTTTGGGTCATTTATTCATGTTACATTCTTCTCCCAATTTGGCACAATAGAAAGTTGAGCCCTTTTAGAGAGCAATGAGTGATGAAAGAGCAAATGTCATGCCATACACTAAACTCTGACCCTGTCCCCCAGTGTACCAAACATCTCTTTGGAGAATCTTAAGAGGAATGGTTGGCATTATGAGGTATCATGGATATTTCACAACCTTTTCTTAAAACCTAACACTGATGGAGATAACTTTATTTTGCAGATGAATAAAAGGTAAACTCAATCACTGCAAGCCTGATTAGCTATAGGGCCATACATTTATCACAGGGCTCAAGATTGACTTTTCTCATGGGAATTGAATTACTTAAAAAAAACAATTTCAGTAGTGGGCATGTAAGCATTCACAGTATATGGAGGTCATCATTTGTGTTTGGAACTGGGCTGCTATCCTACATGGGTCATTTTCCCAAGATGTTAATAACATCATCACTGGAAAGGTGGGTAACTTATGCCTCAGAATAAATTCACTGTTTTTTGTTTTCTGCAGAAATATCAATAGTCAGGTAAACAAATTTATTGAATCCAACAGCAGATAACCTTCAAATTAAAAAACAACAAAAACAAAAAAATACTGTAGACATCAAAGACAAAAATGTATATATCAAGTTAATATTCAAGGGGCTATTTGAAGAGTGCAACAGTGCAGAGAATACAAAAGTATTAACTTTTGTCAAGTTTGTACAACCTCAAGAAACATATGCTGGTCACAAACCAAGAGGGATCCACAAAGGTGGAGGGTCACATGAGCAGTGGACTCATCACCTCAGCGGCTTAATACAGGATATATGTAAGACCAATTCAGCCTGTTTACCTATTGCTTCAAATTCCCTCTTTGAAACCTAGAACCATACTCAGTGCAGCAGGGAAGAGCAGTTAATCAGATTCTGAGGACTGGGGACCAGCATTAGAGGGAAGATATTTTATATTCATGCTGAGAGAAAAACAGCAGCTGCTGAATGGCTTCTTTTGGCAATGCTCAAGATACATGATGGAAATAGGTATCTATGAGAGCAGGCTGGGTTTCTAAGAGAAACAGAATATACCACTCCAACACTAAAATCAGAACTCAGCTAATCAAACCATCTCAGCATCTGTACCCAATGCTCAAACATCATACTTTTAAGGGGGGAGGGCTGGTAAGCATCCTCAGCATGTAGTCCTGGGCCAACTGGTATGGGCTGCTATTACAGCTTAGCATAGGAATGTACTCTGAAGAGGAGTGGCCAGAACCTCCCTCTATATGACCCAGAAGGGAAGATCAATGACACAGGTCCTTAAAAAGCCCTATTTGACATATTTTGATAAATTTGCCGTTTCAATTATTTAAGTTAAATATGGCCTGAGTCCTCCAAGTAAGACCTTAGTCAGTTACCAAGATGTTCAGGTCGTCACTAGTCACCTTAACATACATGGAATAAGTCTAAAGAAAGGGGGCCAGTGAACTTTTTAGTAGTAGCTTTCTGTCCCTTATGTATCTGTATAACTGGGCCTGCCTGCTGCACTAAAGACCACACTTGAAATATAGCAAACCATATATTCCAGTATATAGATCTTTTGCTTTGTTAATGTTTGGACTAGTCTTTATTTCAGCATCTTCCCACCAATGGTCCAAGTACTTAATCAATGGAGTCCCATAACCTGATTTGGCCTGAAGACCAGGCCCTAGAAGACCATACTGTTTCAAACTAATACTGTGTGCAGCTTAACTCTTTATTTTGTGTCCGTCCATCCAATATGAACAATACTGCTTTGCACATTTTCTATTTTCTTTCCCTTAGCCCAAAGCTCTGGCTGAAATTGGAATTTTCAGCTAGCTCTGGAGATTTTTTTTCTTTATCAGATGAGTATTATACAGACTTTCGGACCCAACACACATGTTGGCACATCTGCCACAGTCAAGAGAGCTGCTGGGGCAACCCCTAGTAGTACAGCAAAGTGTCATTAACAATGATACATTCAAGTTTGGCAAGGCTAGGGGAAAGGAATCCATAAAGCAACCTTTTATCTCATACCAGCTCACTAATAAATTAAAGAAATACCATGGAAACTTACCAAAAGTAAGCAATTTTCCAACAGATTCTGTGTAGTAATGATTAGATGTTGCAGAATTCAAAAATGGCACCCACATATCACCCCTCCCCACAACCACCCCAGTGTCACAAAGCTGGCTTACCTAAGGGGCAAACATTTGACCTGCAGTCACTGCTGGAGCAAGCCTATCTGAGGTGAGTGAAGCAGAGGCTTTTGTTTCTCAGAAATGTTAACTACAAACCTTACATCTCACTGTAAATCTCTTGGTTAAAAAAAAAAAAAAAAAAACTACTGCAAAGAGAACCCCAGGTTCCTCTCTAACTGCTCCTTTCTCTGGTACCTCAACAACAGACCATTAAAAATACAATCACAAATAATTCTAAATGACTGGGGTTGGAGAAGCTCGGCAGTCAGTTAAAATTTACCCAGTGGAGAAGGAATCCTTCAGTCCATGGAACCCTCAACGGCCTCCCTCTCTTGGCACTTCCCTGCCATATACACCCTTTCTAATCTGGGACAGAAAGTCTTACCTAGAACACTCCACGACTTCTTTCCTCATTGGACTTCTACCTAATCCAGAATTAGGAACAACTGGCTGGATGAGATCTTCTCCAAAGGCTGCAGTGTAGCTGTGCCCTCAGAAACTGCTGGGCCCCTGGATACTCACTGAAGGACTGTCTTACTATGGCTAGAAGAATGGGGCACATCTGGCCCAACAGCCTCTTCAGCCTGCCATCACTATCTTAAGTCTGTGATTGATTTTCAGGTTTCTCATCTGTCCCTCAAGAAAGGACAAGTGTCAGGCCTACAAAATGCTCCCTGTGTCAATAACAATTTTAGGAAATAGGACTGTCATCTCCTTAAATATCATCTTTATAAAGATAGGAGCCCAGAGCTGTAAGACTCATAAAGAACTCAAAGCATGCAACTCTTGCCCATGGTGAGAAACATATAGCCAGGATTTGGGATAGACTAATCAAGGAAGAAAATTCCAAGTATTTAATAGACACTTTTCATTGTATCAAGAGTATAAATATTTTTGTAACTTTTATTAAAAGATTCCCTTTTAAATCTGTTCCCAAGTGCTGGAAGCTGAACTGTACAAGCTCCTGCCACCCACCTTCCAGTACAACTTTTTGAGGATATTTTTTTAATGGAAATTATCAAGAGGGTCCTCTAGTAGAACTAGGTAGGACAGAGTCATCTCCTTGGGCCCTGGTGGCAACTTGACCAAAGCTGGCCTCGCAGAGTGAACATGTGGAGTCGAGAACTGGTTCCTCCTTCCTGTGAGCAAATTCATTCAAGCTGGCTTTAGTGAAAATGTTCAAATTCATAATACAATAGCCTCCATTTATGATGCTCCCTGGCATTTTCTTAAATCACAGATCAAAGGCAGCTCCCTCTTTTATGGCCAGTTTTAGCAGACAAATAAAGGAATATAGATACATATATGTGTATATATATATATTTTATAAAGGTAAAATATATACATATCTTATATATGTATATATACATATCTGGGGGTAAGGGAAGGAGAAGAGGGTCATGTAAACCTAAACAGTCATCACATTACCCCAAATGAGCTTGACATTAACAAAAAGATAATAAATAACTCCTAGGGGTTAAGTGACAACATGGGTGCAGCAAAGAGGGAGAGGGTACACATTTAATGATTCAATACACTTATACACTTGGATAATTTGTTTGGCAGAGTTCAGGCCAGCCTCAAGCTTCTGCACTTGCCAGACAAGTAAGCTGATGATACTCAACAAAAACTAAAAAAAAAAAAAAAAGTTTGAAGCAGAGTTCCATGCCATAGCTTTAGGTCAGCTGGCCGGCAGGCACACTTTTCTTACCATCTGGAACAGAAACTTTGGCTCCAAGGCAAATGAAAAAGAAAAAAAAAAAAAAGTATTTCCACTTATGACATGAAAATACAAAAACATCAAAGAAAACTATCAAAGAAGTCTACTTCCAGCAAAACTGAGGTAGCACTGCTTTCTCTGCATTCAACGCTTAAGTGGTTTTCAGTATAATGTGTTCTAACAAAACAAAACTGCTCACTTGACTGACAGGTACAGCATGGTGATGGATAAATTAAACATGAAATGCAATGGGTCAAAGGAATGAGCAAGGAGTAAGGTAGGTAAGGGCTTTGGATAAATTAGCTTAAAGGGATGGAGTGGTGTGTCAGACTGCAAATGCTCTTGACTGGCCTTGGCCCTGGCTCTCCAAGAGCTCCAAACTGTCTGGAAATTAATGCAATGTGGCTAACAGTTAACACTGCTATTCATATCTGTGTAAATTTTTTAAAATAATTATTACAACCTAAATTCAACCATGTAAACAGCACTACACACAGTACAGACCTGCCCTGAAAAATAATATGCAAAACTGAGATCTGGCACTGTATCATTTTGTAATGTTAATTCAACCTAACAGTCCCATTTCCCCACCCGGGCATATACCCTCCCCCACAAAAAAAAAAAAAAAAAAAAAAAAAAAAAAAAAAAAAAAAAACAAAACAAATCTAAAATTTGTGCAAGAAATGGCAGGCTTATTCTATCTGAAGGCTTTAAAAAAAAAAAAAAAAAAAAAGAAAGAAAGAAAAGAAAAAGGTACACAACATGTAGCCAGGTTCAAATATTTGGGGGATTTCCCACCCAAAGAAAGAAATAACCAAAATAAAAAAAAAAAAATAAAATAAAATAAAAAAAAAAAAATGAAGAAAGTGCCTAAAACATGATACAGCATTTTAGAGCCCTTTCAAATACAAGGCAGAGAAAGGTGTAAAGTAGAAAATATCCGGATCTTCAGTAATTTCCAGAAAGGTCCAATTCCTCACTTGGCTGCAGGGCAGCAGGCAGATCCTCAGTGCTGCTCCTCTGGACACAAGCCTTCGGGCCCTGAGCTGAGTGCACCTCTCCCTTCTGCATCTCTTTTCCTTCTCTCCATTTCCCACTCCACAAAGGTATCAAAGAGACTCGGCCAGGCCTCATCTTCACTGTAGTTGCTGAGGTCGGGGCCAATCACCTGAGTGAAGTTAAGAAACATGTTCCAAGTGTCCCGGGAGATGCCCTTGATTCCCGAAGGGTTCTCTGTTAGGAAATTTAGCCATTGGTCCAATACAGGAGGGTTGTTCTGGGTAAATACTAGTTTCCACAGGGCAATGGCTATTTCACGATGCAGTGATCGCTGCCCTTCTTCAGAGTCCAGGCCAAACTGAAATGTAAACCGGTAGAGATCCTTGAATTTATCTTCTTGTTTGGCTTCTATTAAGAGGCTAGGGAACCGTGCACAGATCCCATCAATGCTGTCTGCACTTATTGCTTTACAGCCATCAAAAAACTCCTTCCTGTGACAGGTAGGAAAAAGTACGATTAATAAGTAAAAAACGATGCCGAGTATGATGAGGCAAGACAGCACAGTAACAACAGCTGAACCCCCCCAGCCCCTGGGAGGCAGAGATGGAAGGATCTCTGAGTTCAAAGCCAGCTTGGTCTACACAGTATAGTCAGACTTTGCCTCAAAGATGGATGGATGGATGGATGGATGGATGGATGGATGGATGGATGGATGGATGGATGGATGGATAGATGGATAATAGATAGTTCAATTCCTCTAACCCACATGGTAGCAGCTCACAACTACCTGTAACTCCAGTTTCAGGGATCTGACATACTTTTCTGGCCTCTAAGGGTATGAGACATGCACAGAGTGCAGACACATACAATTCAGGAAAGACACATACAGATAAAAGAGAGGAAAAAGCAAACAAATAAATGTGGCTTTGAGGGCCCGGCAAGATGGCTCAGCAGGTAAACATACTTGCACTAAGATTGATCAACTCTCTCAAATTGTCCTTTGGCCCCATCATACTCAAAGCATGGCACATGTGCATTTACACATACACAAAACCAAAAATATGTAGTTTTTAAAAGTTTTTAACTATTTTTGTTTGTGTTGCTTTATGAGATGGGTTCTCACTATGTAGCCCAAATTAGCCTTGAATTCTCTACCCTTGTGCCTCATTCTTTTGGGAGACAGTTTTATAAACATGTAACACCACACTGCTACATATATATTTTTAACAGGTATACAGCACTTTGCAGTTTACAACAGGGTTTCACATTTATCATCCCCGGGAATGTACAAGCTGCTGGAGTGTGAAGCATCTGATCTACCGAGCGGGCCAGACAGGTGGGTTTTGAAGTCTGTTCTTCCAGGGCAGGTATGGTGGTTTATTCCTTTAATCCCAGCACTCAAGAGGTAGGCAGATCTTGGAGTTTGAGACCACATTGTCTACATATCTAGTTCCAGGCCACTAGGGCTATATAGTGAGAACCCATCTTTAAAAACAAAACAATAATAACAGCACAAAAAATAAAGTCAGTTATTATTCATAACCCTGTACTCTTGAAGCCATAGCCTGTCATATCCTTTTATACAAACAACCCTAATATGGATGTATTACTGTGACAATTTGTACAACTCCTGCTTGGTAACTGTGGCCAGCTGTCCTCGCTGCACACAGGCCTGGCTATAGAGGCATATCCCCAGAGAAACTTACTCTATGGAAACGTAAGTGACTGGCAGGCTACAGATAAATATCGAATGAGTCAATGACATGTAAAGGACTATGGGACAAGTTCTGAGCTGCTGTCAGTGGGGTTGAGCAGCAACTGAGCAACAGGGTTCACACTGCTTATTTAACTTCAAGCAGAGAGTCAGTACCCAGTTAGGCTGCCTATTAGTGCTGTGATAAATTCAACTGTGACCTATCAGTCAGGCAGTGTTTTATTCTGTGAGGAAAACAGGATAGCACATTGTCAGACAAAGAAGCTTTATGGAGATACAAATCCCTGAGTCTTACTTACTGAGAAACCTACTCAGTAATTCTGCTTCAGTACCAGGAGGAACATGGTTTAAAAAAAAAAAAAAAAATTCCTTAGAAGAATCTAGGTAGTTATCTGAATCAGAACACTTAAGCTTTAGAGAAAATGGCCAGAAAAGGGAGGAGAGATCACTTGCCCCAAACCTGTGAAGCCACCCCAGTTCTGTCCTAGCTGGTACCCAATGTCACTTTATTTCCTTCTCTGTTCATCTGACAGGAAAGCATCTGTGACTAACCTGGTGAATTTGCACATGGTAGCAGCCTGGAACTTCCAAGCCAAGAGCAGCACTCGAAATTCCGTAGGATCAACACATAGGTCATTGCAAAAGCGCTCCATGCCTTCCTCCAAGATTGCATCCTCCCGCTCGTCCTTGTAGCGCCTGAACAGTTCTTCCAACCTCTGCAAGGAAGACTCCTCAGCATTGGCCTTGGACTCCCTCCCAGCATCTCCAGAAGATGTTGGCAGCTGGCAAGCTTCAGTGGTAGCCTCTGCTTTCTTGGTCCCATTGACAAGGATATCCCCAGCTGGTTTGCCACAAGGTGGCACCTGTTCCTCACGGTGGCCAGCTCCCCGCCTGCTGTGTGACTTGCTGCTGGGGTCCCGGTCTCCATTCTTGCTGCCCAAGGTTGATGAAGGATTCTTGCACTTGGTGACACACTGGCCCATGGTGGTGGTGGCCTGGCCTCTAGAGTGGCCCCCTCTGGATCAGATGCCCTCGCTGCTGCTGGCCCATGTACTTCAACATGCCATCAGTTAGAGGAGCCAGCCAATCTGGAAGGAAATTACAAAGTAGTCACCTCTAAGCAGAGGAGTAGGGCATAGACACTATATTCCAGAACTTTCTACCAGTAACCACTTATTTCACTGAGCTAACCATGAGCCAAGGGAAAGACACTCCCTCCCTGCCCCTAGCTCGCCATAACCTCTCCTGTAAGTCATCTCTGTGGCTTACTCTTGGAAATGGTGGCTAAGGGATATATGGAGAACCAGCATAGGAAATTTCTAGAATCATTAAGGTAACACTGGTTACAAAAGGCAGATCATGTGCAGAACACATTAGAGACTACACTCTGACAGAGTGTTCCAGGGGAAATATGTTTTGTCAATTTTTGCCTTTACTAAGAAAGTTACTTAGATCAGAGTTAAGCCAGAAGTTCACCACCTGACTCTACACCTAATAACCTACATGTTCAGATTTTAACAAAGATTGCTACAGTATGTCTTTTCTTCCAAGAATAACACAGCAACACCTTGGGAGTACAAATTACCTTGGCCTGGTAGCCATGGTAACTTATTGAGCAGAACAATACAGAAGTAGCTAAGTCTATGGTAATGGTAACAGATGAAGGATGGAGCTGGTGATACTCCTCAGTAGGAGTCAAGGAGAGTGAAAGGAACCTCTGCTCACAACAGCCATTCCTTCTTGCTGTCCAAGGAGTAGAAAATTAACTGAAAGCAAAACTCCATAATGAAGCTTCCATGAAGTCCTCAGACCTAAGGTGCTTTAGCTACTTTAAGGTCACTCATGCTCCTGAAAGTAAGCTCTTACCTGTGTTCTTTAAATAAATCCAGTAAATACATTGTTTGGTTTGTTAGGCTGGATTCTGGTGTAATAGGTGCCATACCCAAGCACCTGTAATCTCATAATGATCTAACGGTGAGGTAAAGAGTTACAGTGTCAAAACTACATGTGTCTGATCTCTTTGGATTCACACAGGTGTACTGTCCTAGCTCCATCCTGCTCCACCCAACTATATGGAGCCTGTACTCCAGGTACTTTCCCAACCTAGGTGTGTCTCTAAGACACAGAACTGCCAAATCAAATGGCTACATTGACACTGAGCAAATTCTTCCCTGTGTGTACTATTTGTTGTAACTTAATTTTTATATGACCTGCTAGAAATTTGTGGCAAAAGCAGAAGTTACTTCTGTAATACAATCTACTCAGGACTTGTTCTTAACCATCAACTAGTTTCTATAATAAAAAATCCATTTATAATTTAGTACTTGCAAAATTCTGCCAACTGCTAGAACAATGGCAACCACTAACACTGCACAGTTACTATGTGGATCAGAAGCCAGAAGTGTACCAAAGAAAGCAGACACCAGACAAAAATCATTGTCAGTCCAGCATGGACCTCCTACTTCTAAGGAGCTTCCATGGACCTCCATGGTACAAATTCAGAGGTCTTAAGAGTCTGGTAATGGGGCAAAGGGGAGTTCTGAAAAATTAAAAACAAAATAGCTTCTACCAAACAGTGCTTAGATAAATTGGGAATTACCTTCTCTAAAAGGAAGACGTGAGTGTAGTCACCTAAAAGAAACCACAACCATTCCTGTAGTTAAGGTAGACTCCTATCAGGGTGTGTCCTATTCTCCACCCACGGAAACAAAAGACATGTCTACACATGCCCTCTAAAGAACTGAAGTTTCAATGTGCTTTAAAACACACACACACACACACACACACACACACACACACACACACACACACACACAAAGAAACCCTTAAAAGTGCTTTGAATATGAAAAGTGACAGACCCAGGCATGGTTTCTCACAGCTCACAGGCTGTTCATACTTTGGGCATGTAGTAAGCTGTAAGGGAAACCTATTCAAATTTCAAAAGGCATGGGGTTAATTCTTGGAAGACCATCATATAAGAGAAGCAACTGTTCTAGCAAAATTCTCTCCAAACAAGAAGGACTGTAGCATGTGGAGGGTCTGGTTTCCAGATTTGTGTTTCTAAAGACTGGATTGCTGAAAGAAACAAAAGACCCAAACTTACACAAACCCCACATGCTCACAGACTGGCAACTCTAATTCCCAGGCTCGCTGACTCACCAATGTTTGCTGCTCAGCTCCTGCTGCAGGAGGCCCAGCACCAGGAGCCATAAGAGGATTTCCTGCCCTCCGTTTGACCCACCTACCCAGGCCACTCACCCCACCCCCACTGGACAGATGCTTCAGTACAGCAGCTCCCTCCAAAGCCTGGTACCAAGGCCTAAAGGTAAAGACAGAACAGATGGGGCTCCCATAGAGGCCTAAATCCCATTTACTCTGCTGGGTCTCCATGTAAAAGCATCTTTTGATGACCTGAAACAGCGGAACCAGTTGAAACCTGAAGGCTTTTAACATGCTCAGCAGATGAGAAAAAGAGAGGGAAATCAATGTCGACAGATGATCAATCACCCAGTGATTACAAGGTCAGCTTTCTTCCATCATAGTTCCTTTCTTTGAAAGGTTCCCATTCTAGTGGGATGGAGTAGTGGTCTCAAGTTAGAGCCAGTATTTTCCTGTATTGCTGGTGTGTACTCCTCCTGGATTACTCTTTGATTTCTCTTTTTTTCTGGGCTTCTCCAGACCCAGTCACAGCAACCAGCCCTGTGTTCAAGAAGGTGACAGAACCTTCCTCAGTTTCAAAGCTGAAGGTCTCACTGACCGCTGGCTAAGCAGTCAATTATAGAGCATTAGATAGAGAGCCAAGCTCTATACTAACTAAGCACTTTAAGAACATTATTAGTTCATGTGCCCTCCTCATAACAACCTCATTTAAAAATATGGAAACTGAGGCTCTGCATACATACAGTAGTAAATTTACCCAACATCACAGAACAAACAGAGCTTGGAATGTTTTTATTCAAGAAACCATGACCTGTACAATTGAGCCCACATCTGGCAAAGGATCATGGAACAGTACACTGAATAATATTCAGGAGCAACAATACAGCAACCATAGAATTGCAAATCTTACCCATCAGCCACCAGAAAGAACACCACACTGTCTGCATGCATGATCAAAGACATCCTTAGCACTGCCTTCCCCAGGACTAGACCAGTCCAGCTGCCATGTTTCCAACAAGGACAATGCCCTTGGGATCACTGCTCCCCATCCCAGGAAGGAAGGAGATATGCTAGAACTGGTCCACTTGCCCTAGACCTGCTCCACCACATCAGTGTGGTGAAAGCCCCAGCCATAAACCTGAAACCTAGCTCTATGACTAGCTGAATTTCCCAAAAATCTACCCACATAGTTATTGTATATAATCAAGAAATGTAGATAATAATATCTGGTACATACAGCCAGCCCTACCCTAAAGTCATTAGCTCAAGTCCTTCTAAATAACAGTCTCACAAGAGCTATTGAGACGGCTCAGTGTTCAAGGTGCCTGCCACCAGGTTAGGGGCAATCTGAGATCAATCCCCAGGACCTATATGGTAGAAGGGAAGGACAGACTCTGAAAGTTCTCCCAGACTGCCACACATAAGCCATAGCACATGAGTATACATACACACAAATAGTTTTAAAATATTATTAACAATAGTAATAATAAAAGGTCAGGCACAATAATGCATGTGTTTAATCCCAGCGCTTGGGAAGCAGACAGGTGGATCTCTGTGAGCCCAAGATCAGCCTGAGCTACATAGTGAGACCCAGTCTCAAAAAATAAAAACAGGCTCACACCACATCACTGACTATATTCAAAAGCTCCAAAGCATCAACACAAGGAGAACCAGGTTCTCTACAGAAAGTGATTTCCTTGGGATTGATCCTCAATAAAATCAAGCTGTGCCTGTGTGAGCACTTGAAATTATCAGGCATACCCTGCTTCTAACCTGAAGCAGGCTTTCCCTTTCCTTTTTCATCCACTTCTGCAGGTCTGCAAAGACAGGATCTCTAGCTTTCAAGGCAACTAAACTGTTAATGGAGGTACCTTTCCAGGTGACTCTCCTCACTCCCATTGCCACCTGCTGACAGCTTCTGCACAATCGAGACACCCTAGTGTCACATTTCCAAAAACAAAATAATTATTAGTAATGAATATCACTTTCTATTTGCTAGTATATTGTAACCACCTTATAGAAATGTAGCTCTGTGAAATAACTCCTGAGTTCTGGGAAATTAAATGGCAGCTCACTGAGGTCAAGGAGCCTATCTAGGGAAAAAGTACAATAATTGAGAGGTTGAGTGAATCACAGTGATGGCATCTATTAACCAAACCTGTCAACAACTCATCCCACTGCACCTCAGAGGACTGTTGAGAAGAGGAAATGAGCTAATCCATGTATTTGGTGCATAGGAGCATTCAATGAAGTGTCCGCCTCTCTGTGTAATTATTATTATTACTGCTATCACAGTCACTGGCAGACTCACGCTTCCTTTACCACAGGAAGAGTTCTTCAGTAGCTAGTCCAGCTCTATCATGACAAGTCAAATATGTCTCATAAATGACTGCTCTACTGCTTTAGCTGTATGACACAGATGGGTCAAACAGAGCCAAGGACAAGGAGAGGAGGGAGAAGGACTGGAGGAAAAGTGGAGAAGTGGAACTATTCGCACATACACTACCTGGGAAACATATTCTAAGCCTTTATACTCCTTTGGGCTATTTATTTACCAGACAGGAACTTGTTCAGCTTACACTGGATCAGGATCAGTCCCTAGTTTTTCTCCTTCAACCTTAGCTCCAGCTGTTTCTGACTCCTTCCCTCCCTTCTCTGCACACCAGCCTCCAGAACCCTCCTTCCTTTGTGCCAGCCCTGGCTGCTATTCCTGAGGAAAAGCTTGGCTGCCTGCCCAGCTCAGCCCGGCTTCAGGCCTGAAGCAGACGCTGTTAGGCCCTGAGGGCAGTCCTTAGAGGCCTGGGGTCCCTGGAGGCGCTCTAGCTCCAGCAGAGCCTGTCTTGTCTCTTTAGTAGTTCCATGAGGTAACAACCAGGCAAGCCTGTCTTCAAGTGACTTACTCTTGACTGCTGAGCTGATCCACAGTGGAGACCAACCCACACTGAGACCTGGCACAAAGGGACACAGGAAAAAGGAGGAAATAAGAGAACTATAAAGAAAACCTGAGAGGGACTCATAATAACTAAGAGCCTGGGGCTACAGTTGCACTTTTATAACACAAATAAGTAGTAAATTGCTCTAGCTTTTATGTTAAGAATAAATATAATAATATTAATACACACACATACACACACACACATATATACACACACACACACACACACACAGAGAGAGAGAGAGAGAGAGAGAGAGAGAGAGAGAGAGAGAGAGAGAGAGAGAGAGAGTAAAATAAAACCGATCTGCCAAACTTCACCGAGAAGACTTCATAGAGAGATAGGTCTTGTCTGGGTTCTTGGATGGCAATTGGCAGGAAATGGAAAGAGAGAAGATCATTATGATTGGTCTGTGTTAATTAAAATCATTACAGGGAGCTGGGGAGACTGGCCCATCAGTAAAGTGCCAGCCACAAAAACATGAGGACTTCAGTTTGGATCCCCAGCACCCATGTAAAAGCTGGGCATGGTAGTCCATGTCTAAATCCCCAGTGCTGGGGGATAAAGAAGCTTCCTGGGGCTTACAGGCCAGCCAGCCTAAGTGAAGCAATAAGCTCCAGGTTCAGTGATAGACCCTAACTCAGAAAATATGGTGAAGAATGTCACCTGACATTGACCTCTGACCTTTACACATGCCCAAACACAGCACCTACAAAAAGCACTGCATGTTATTCATTGAGAATGATGTGAACTGTAAATTAAATAGTATTTTCTTCATGTTATAAAAGAAGTAAATAAAACTCAGGGAGTCTGCTTGAGATAACCAGTTTGACTCCATACACTTAGATGGATATCCTGATCTCTGGCTTGCTGGCCTTGCTTACTCTTCTCTGATACGATGTGTGCCAAGGCATGCCAGACTAAGATGACAATGCCCCAAGAAGAAAACCTTCTTTATCAACACTTCAGTGTATTCCAGAGGTTGAGTCAATATGCAGAGTAAATTCTGAGGACATTTCAGAGTTTCATCTGGGGCTGCCATAAGCACTGTATCCCTCCAACAAATCATGTGGCCTCTCTGAGTTTCTGTGACTCAAACATTAAAACAAGAGGTCTAGAATTGTCTTTTCAATGTATAATATTCTGGGGCTACCTTTGATTTTCACCATTTAAAAGAGAATGAAGGTGAGGATCTGGAACCCTCTTAAAGAACCTTTCCTCTTGCTCCTTCTTGTTCATACTCTCACAACCAAACCCAAAAGAAGAAAAAATAGCCGACTCCAATCTGAACAATGGGTGATAAGATACCATGCAGTTTGCAGCCTTCCACTGGTTTGAAATCTTGAGGGTCAGCAATAAGACCCTGACTCATGGTAAGCAGTCCCCATGGTAAGCAGCCCTGATGTAGCTGACTGGGTCAGAAAGTCTGCTCAGAAGAAGTGTTGGCTGCTAAAAGGGTGCCTATGAAATGATGAGCTAAAATGCAGGAGGTGAATATATACCAAAAAAAGAAGAAAAAAAAAAAAAAAAAACCAGTATCAGCAAGTGATATTAGATCTGACCTAAGACTGCCTTGACAGAAGGGAACAACCCAATGCCTTTCTCCATTTTCCATTTGTTCCCATCTGGAGTTGGTCTATTCTGCAGCAAGAAGCTACCAACACACACTGGCATTCCTACATAATAGCAATGTAAAATTCATGTTTCCAACTTCTATCTAAATAGTTTGTGGAACTAGCTGGGTCCATGGTCTTACTTCTCACTAAATACGTCAGACACTGAAGAACAGAACATGAGTACATGAAATGTTCAGTTTTTCTACAGCAGCCAGAGGCTATAAGGGACAGACTCCCAGTCCCACTTGGCAGCTACAGGTTCTGAGTAACCTTTTCAAAAGACTGACAAGTGGGCACTTCAATTGTAAATGACTGGTAGAAACCTGCAGACACAATGAGAAAAGACGGAGGGGACTGCTCATCTAACCTGGAACTAGGGCTTGAAGATCACCTTCAAAGATTAGGTCTTACCAGAGCTACTTAGTGGGGAAAGCAGTTTCCTACACCAAAGCAAACAAAACCCTTTTTGTTTCTATGTTCATGCTTTTAAAGGTGTCTTTGTTCTAAAATGCCCTACACTAGCAAACTAAAACTGCAGCTCTAGTTAGGATTGGGTAGGACTTGCTACATCAACCAATCTCAAAAGTACAAAAGGAAAGAGGCATGAAGGAAGGAAAGAATATTTTTAAAAGGAAATATACATACTAGTTATATATCTAGAAAGTAACCTGGGGTCACATAACTAGCACCACCCAGCTTGGCACAGTCATTTATTTTTATTAGTTTGTCACTGGTCCTTAGGTGTCACACTTGAAATACAATTGCTTACTGTACAATGATATTTTCATCAGTATTGGACAATGGTCACAGTGGTGGTCCTATAAGATCATAGCACAGTTTTTAGGCAACCATAGCCACCCAGTGCAGTGAAGAAAGTGTTCACTTATTCATGATGGTGTTGGCACAGAGATGTACCCTATACTGCTGGCTGTAAAAAAAGACAGCACATACAATTTTCTTTTTTCTTTTTTGATTATTCCCCCCCAAGGAAGGGTTTCTCGTATTGCTTTTGGAGGCTGTTCTGGAACTAACTCTGTAGACCAGTATGGCCTTCCTTGAACTCACGGAGATCTGCCTGTCTCTGCCTCCCAAGTGCTGGAATCAAAAGTGTGCACCACCACCACTCAGCCCAGCACATACAATTATGAATGGTATATTTAATAAAAAGGGCTATGTATTTATAATGCTACCTTTTTAGTGTTAAAAGGTTACTGTAAAATAGCATGCTGTTTGGCTGGCAGCAAGCTCATACATGTTATATATACCATCTCCCCTAACTATATCAAGATATCACATGAAGTGAATGACCTATGTGTAAAGACACTCAATGGCATCCACACAATGACAAACTCAATCAGAATTCATCCCTTAGTTAAGCAGTTCATGACTAGATACTATTGAGACTATCTATTTAAGGCCTGAGGACTACAACTGCTCCTGCTGGCTAGTTGAAAGGCTACTTGCCAATTACAAGCAAGTCAACACAGACACACGCCACATAAACTTTCCAAAAGGAAATAATGAAGCTCTCTATGCTTTAGAACTGAGCTGCATATTTACCCAAAATAACCCAAACTGGGCCTTCTCTGGGCCCACAATTGGGTTTTTTGTTTCTTTCCTCCATCACGACTCTTCTAAAGCAGGTCTAACTACCCCATGTGTGCAAAGGGGGCATGATTAGGAAGGCCATGAATTTCTATTCTACATTGGCCACTGTATTACTTTCTTTTCTAGTTGGTTCTACCAAATACCTAAAGAAGGAACGTAATGAGATGAAAGATTTATTTTGGCTGTCCCAGAAGATATGGTCCACCATTGCAGCAGGAGTGTAAGGCCACAGTCCTCACATGTTAGCAGACGAGGCAGCAGATTAGACTGGAATCCAGAGCACATATCACCTTCAAGCCTTGCCCCCAGGGACCACCTCCTGCTGGAGAGACCACAGTCCCAAAGGTTCTACAACCTCCCTAGTCATTGCCACCTGCTGGGGACCAAATATTCAAATGGATGAGCTATGGAGACAACTGTAACAGTCACTCCTTTGTCATCAGTCCCTCCACCCCACCCCTCTGCTTTCCCAATGACATTCCTTGTTTAAAGGCAAAAGGCTGTCTTGGGTTTGTACTCCCTGGTACTGTAATGAGAATGGCATGCCTGATACACTCTGGCTCTATGTATGCAGTTTGTTTCCTTGCTTGGTTGGGGTGGAACTTCAGTACCTCACTGAAGGTGGACTGCTGATTGGACATTAATTCTCTGACACCCAGGAGGTCGGCAGATCATAGCTAATTAGTCCTCAAACATCCAATTACCACACAAACTGTTCACTTTCTGGCCACCTTCTAAGGAATTTAGCTGAAAGGTAGTTAACTGAAGATGACATTAGAGTTTTGCATTTCATAAAAGGAAAGAAACTGTGAAATGAGTCAAAAGGTGAGGAAAAAACCTGATACAACAAAAATGATAAATGAGTGCCTGCAAATGCCTTAAAGGAATACTTGAATGATCACCAATATACAGTTGCGGTTTCTAGAGTCATGTGGTTTCTAAGTAAGGCTGAAATCCATTACATGGTACTGATCAATTTCCCAATGCTAGTTCACTCTTTATGAAGAAAATCTAAATCCATTATAAGACCACATATACCAACTTCTTCCTAGAAGCCAATGATGGAGGCTGACTGTTGATGTGCAGCAGACAGGAAGAGGGACGGAAGACCTGCACAGCAAAAGATTTCTTCCTTTTAACCACATGAGTAACTTGGTCATAAATGCCCATAGCTTCTGCCAAATCAAAAGTACTATATATTCTAGTAAGTCCAGAAAATGCAGACAAGTCTGTGTGTGTGTTTGGGGGGGGGAGGGTGTGAGTGTCAATGAATTTCACATGGGTTCTGGGGTTATTGAACTCAGGTCCACAAGCTTGCAAAGCAAGCACTTTAGTAACTAAGCTACCACCTTAACCCTTCAACAAAAATTTTAAATATTGTTATCGCCACAAATGCTCCAGATGGCACAAAACTATTCAATCTGTTCCAGTGGGAACAAAGAGACTGAGACTCCCTGTGCTGAAACACTGTAAACAACTTAGTATCTCAATGAACCGGCACCATGATTTGTTGTCTTAACATCTTACTCAGATGCTAACTTGCCCTCCATAATTCACTATTCTAGACATACTATGGTAATAAATAGAAAATGAAGTTAAAATCAGAACATTAATAATTATTTCCTGGGAATAAATCCTAAGACAGGAAATTAATGGATCAAAGAACATACAAAAAATGTTTATATAAAATCTATTCTAGCAATGGACACATACTTTTAACATACTGTTTTTGTCAATTCAATTTCCCTTTAAAAAAAAAAAAAAAGGGAGAGAGGGAGGGAGGGAGGGAAG